AGATGCTAGCTGGTTTATTTATATTTACTTTTTTCTTTTTAAGCTCTAAGTCCTGGGTAAGACGATAAACTACATCCAACAGCAAGGCCTCTGATTAGGTTTTGAGGAGCATGGAACCCCCTCTTAATTGCTGGTGTTCCCAGGTCCACCCTGACCCGGGGTGGTAGAAGCTGTTAGGGTCCCAGCTATGGGTAAATAGTTAACACCCAGACTACGTCTGTGTCCTGGGTATGATGATAAACTACGTCTAACAGCAAGGCCTCTGATAATACGTTTTTGAAAAAATAATACCAGCTATACTTTTTTTTTTTTTTTTTTTTTTTTTTTTTTTTTTAAATATTACTGGCTGTATGTTTTGGAAGAATAGTATTAACAGCTATACGTTTTTGAAAAATATGACCAGCTATACATTTTTGTGGAAAAAAAATATTAATAGAATTTTGACAAAACAAAAATATTACCAAAAAAAAAAAGTTGTCGGCATTAAATGACCCATTGAGGTTGATGTGCCGTAAAACAAACCAAACCTATAAGATATTGAAACTTAAACCTAATAAAGATGACTTTTGTGTTCTGACTTTGCCACTTCGTTGCTGAAGCCAATCATAACATGAACAATGTTTTGGTTGAATTGGAATCAGCTTCAGGAGACACCATGTGGTATTCATTCCAAACATTCACTTTGTAAATCTCCATAATAAATACAGTTATAGCTGCACATTGTCATTCAACAATGCAGAATTGAGGGCAGCTATAGAGACTCATGTAAAAGCAAAAACTCTGGCATTGGGAAAGTGAAGAAATTGCCAAAGTGGGTACCTTTTATGGTTTGACTAATTGAAAGACCCTCCTGACTTTTTAATGCTTATGTAATAGAGCAATCTGATCCAAGCCCATCGTGGCAGTGTCCAATTGTCATTGCAGAGATGAAGAAAAAGTGGTTTATTTTGATTCATACTTCACAAACTGTGGAACCAACTTCCAAGAGGCGGCTTCCCCAATCACAATCTTAACCTGTTCAAATCAAGGATTAATAATTATCTTCCCCACATAAACTGTACTTCTCTTACCACTTACTCTGTAACCCTTGATTGGCTCTTGGGTCTTGTACTGGGTAAACATTATTATTAAAAAATATCTTCCAAGTAAAAACACATGAAGTTAAGCATCAATGTTCTGCTTCGTCTACCCTATTCACTGGACTTGTCTTTAGATGCATACATATACCAGCAATTGTGCACAAATGCAGATCGGGTCAAAACACCTTCCAACAGTCCATAAAAATCACAATTCACTGCCAGATTGTTGGTATCTTTGTGTTGCTTTTAACAATGCCTGACTAATAAAGTTGCATTTGACTGGAATTAAGATATCTATAAACTTTGTAGTTCAAAAAAATTTTGTTCTAAGCTGATGTGCTTATTCAACAACCAATGACGACATTTCACTTTTGTTCATGTAATATCTTATGGCACTTGAACAGAGTTCTTTCAAATCAGGTCAGTCTGAAACAAATGGTCTATTTGTCACGAATCTGGTTGTTATTGTCAAATAAATATCTAGCTACCTTCAGCGTGTGTTCAAAAAATAATTTATTTGATAATATAAAATACAATAATCTTCAAAAATTTAAATGCAATGTCAATCATTATCTACTATCTTCATGATTACACTTATATTGTTCTTGCTCCTCAATAATGTTTCTGTTTTCTAATTCTTTCACATCCATTAACCCCTTGTGTCTTATGCAACCATTTCTGTGAGAACACTTTTTATCTTCCATCAGGAGAGTGACTGATCAAACCTTTGAATCAAGTAATAGAGAATTTGATTCACCAGAACCTATCTTTCACATTTATGAGTCTACAATTTGTCCATGCATTAAATATTGCCGCCACATCTGGTCTGCTGTTTCTGCTAATTATTTAGAGATTTTTAATAAAATACAAAGAATCTGCAATGTTATTGTTCTTGACCTGGCATCTCGACTTCAGTCAATTTTCCACTGCCATAACATTGTTTCTATGCAGTTTTCTATAAATATTTTTATGGTAATTATTCTGATGAGCTTTCTTCTTTGATAGCTAGACTTTATGAATATAAACACTGTACTAGATTGGCAGCAAGGTGTCATCATCTTTTTTCAATTGAAATAGCTGTGAATGAAATGGCAAGTTCTATGCTGACAGTTTCTTCGTCCTTATGGAAATCTCTTCTGGCTTCCCAGTTAACTTTGCACTTAAATACCAACTATGATCTTTTGTTTTTGTTTTCTTATTGAAGGTAGAAGCCAAAAACTTCTCAATATTCTTGTGGCCTAACTGAAAAATGGAATCTGCAATTACTTTGCAAGAATGCATTTGGGGAAGGCATGAACTCACTTCTCCTTGCACTGTTCTATAACAAAACATTTTGACAAAATGTCTCATCATTATCAAAGAACTTAAAAAATTAACTTTTTATTTGCCTTGACAGGTTCCAAACAATTTGATTAGTTTCTATCTTACAAATTTTTAATTCCTCTTTGTAAGATATTTATGGGTCTATTCCTGGTGGTCCACTGATTATGGGCATGACTATACTTCTCATATTAGACAATTCTTAATTATTTTAGTATGTCTTATATTATCTGAACATGAAATGATACCAATGCAGTGTCTTGTCTTCCAGTTTGAATTGTAGGAATGATCATATTAACAGGATTTATTGCTTAGAGCATCATTTAGAGCACAGGTTCCTTTATGGCCTTTCTCCCTGGTGTTCAAGTCAAGGGGATGAAGGCAAAGGTTTTGAATGCTGATTTAATTCATTTTCTAAGCAGTCCCATTAATCATGAAGTAAATCCATTTATCACACACCCAAGTCTAACACTTGACAGATCTTTCTTTTTTATTGAGTACCTTCACATTTTCACTAAAAAATAGCATAGTATGAGGAAAATGGCCCAAACTTGATAAAAACAAAGTTTTATCATCAAAATGTTTGATCTTTCCTCTTAATAATAACAAAGTATTTTTTATTAAATTTTTGGATTTTAATAAAACTTTTCAAAAATAAATTGCTGTGTAAATTTTTTTTTTTTTTTTTTTTTTTTTTTTTTTTAGAAAATCTTTGTAAAAAAATTTTTTCTTTCTTTATATCTGATACACCCACTTAATTAATTTCATGAAATTTTGAGGAATCAAAGTATCAACCTTTTCATATTTATATTAGTTAAAAGCAGGACTCTTTGCAGAATTCATAAATTGTTTTTGTCAAACACCATTTACCAAAAATCTTTCAAATCATAAAATAAAATAATACAATAAAACTGACATTATTTAACTAAAAAAGCTTTTAATTGCTTTTTAAATAACATTAAGGACACTATTGTCTAAGAAAAAAAATTTTTTATGAATAATGAATTTTTACAATTCTTTTTTGAAAATTTTAATTAGAATAATTTATAAAGTTTTAAATCTTTTAAAATTCTGTATTAATATCCACCTTTTAGATTATATTAAGTGTAAACTATATTTACAAATCAAAAAGTTAAATACCAATCAGCAAATACCGTAATTTTTAAAAGAATTTTGAATTTTTATATTAGTGTATTTTTTGTAAGTAGAGTTGACCATATGCAAAATTGAGAACATGGGTGATAACGATATTAAAGGTAAAGCTAAATTTTCTAAAATTCAATAAAACATTAGATTACAAAGAATATTTTCAAGATTACTGAATATGTAAAAATTATTTAAAAAAAGGTGCTTACATCATTTTCTTCAATTATTTTTTACTACAGATAAAGTCTCCATAGAACAGATCTGTCATCCTAGCTAATGGTAGGTTAAAAAATGAACTTCTGCGATATTTTAAACTTAATGTAAATAATATTTATTTCAAATAAGATTAATTATATATACTTTAAATCAGTTAATATTCTTCAAATAAAGTTTCTGAAAAGTATATTTGATTTTTGGAAGACTCTTTCTTTAATAAAGGGAATTATATTGTGAGAAGAGACAATTAAACAGAAAAGGACATTAATCAGCTATTTTAGCAAAAAAAAAAAAAAAAACTCCGAGTCAAATTAAATTAATTTTTGAAATACAGTAAAGTATCTTCCTTATTGGAAACATTGGCTTGAAACTAAAACGAAAATAAAAAAAAATTTATTTTTTAAAATTCCTTTTAAACCTTATGTATCTTTTTTTTTTTCTCTCTCTCTCTCTGTGTGGATGTACCTACTTTTTATGAAATCAATATGTTTTGACTTTTTCTACTCTTATTGATATAGAAAAAGGACATCTCTGGGCTTAATTCATTTAACTATGATGGAAATTCCTGTCATCCGTAATTTTGATTAACACTTCATTTTTTTTGCTAAGGGAAATATAACGATGTTTCCAAGGGAAATAACTTTGTAAAAAAATTGGCTGAATAGTATTTCTTGTTACGAATTTTTATTTTTTTTTTTTTTTTTTTTGTTTAAATATACTGAAACTGATCTAGTTTATGAATTATATCGTCAATAGGAGCCTCATTACTGGATCCCTGTGCCAAACTAAGCTATCTGTTTTTTCCCCCTCTACCTTGCTCACACTTTCAAAAAATGATCTTAGTATTTTTTTAACAGTTTTATTTGATTATTGAATCATTAAAACTAACATAGCTGTGTATAATGAATTTAAATAGTAGTAGTAGTAGTAGCAGGTGATTACCATTTAAGTTCTTTGGTGATGAGACTTCAGGACTGAGGAATGGTATATGAAGGTGATATGCTGCTCAGACAACATGATACTCTTTTCAGCCATACTGACGAGCTACCATTGATTAAATATTGAAACACAATAAAAAAAACATAAGAAAATACAACTTGAATCCTTTTTATTGAAATTAACACTAATAATGTTTAACAGAAAATAATTAAAAAAAAAAACCTGAACTGTTTGAGAAAAAACTGATACAAATTCATCAATCAAAACCATTTTTTCACAAGTGGACATTTTGTTGTCTCTTCATGGGCAACCTTTACTACTTGACTTGACCACATCATTGAGGAATGCTAGTAAATCAGCCATTTCAAGATTAACTTCCAGAAACTGATTCACTAAATAATGGCACCTGAAAATTAAAATAAGAAAACATAAGTAATCCTGATTGACTTCAACTGGAAGTAAATATGCCTGGCATGTGAATTTCTAATCAATTTGCACAAGAAATGTTTATTTACCATTATGGATTCTTTCTGTCTGAATTTTTGGGATGAGGAGTTATTATTATTTACACTGATTACATGCAAATTAATGCCCTCATTTTTATCACAAAAAAAAATACATCTTTGTTTTTCTGACCAACAACTTCTGCCCATACATTTTGAGCTTAATCAAGACTTAGAGTAGATGATTTTTTACACTACCTAACCCAAGGATAGCTGGTATCTACTCAACTAAGATTCTTTATCCAATGAAGGAAACTTGAAGTCTTAAACTTAATGTTACTTGTCTGTCTCTTCAATTGAACTAAGTTACATTACCTGTAGTACAACTCTTTTTATATGCCATGTCCTGTCAGGATGTAGACAATCATCACTCTCTATAACTTCTTATAGTTCATAGCTCTAAGCAATATTTGTTCATTTTTGCAATACATTTACACAAGCTCATTTGGTAGGTTAGTCAGTGTTGCCCCACCCTCTTGAAGCCCTCTTTCCTCATTATTCAAGGGGCTGGAAACTTTCTTTATAATAATTTCTATATTAGACCAATTACAGACATGAACCCTATATGAGAACCTTTAATTAAAAGAAAAAACACACATCATCACTCAAAAATTCCATTACCTAATTCCATTAGTTAGTTGAAGAGGCAGACAAATCATATTAGATTTAAGGCTCCAATTTTCTACCATTAAACTGTTCTCCAGAGTACATAGCTGAGTGGGCAAAAGCATTAGTTAAATGGATCTAGTTAACTGGCAATCAGAAGTTGAATCCATGGGTTGGGTAGTGTAAAATGTCAGAAACTTTGTATCAATTAATACTATAATCATGGACAGATCATTACAATCATCACCTGTAATTTGAATAAAAGGTTTTGTTCAAAATTCCTGTGTTTAAAGACCACAACAGACACCTGAAGAAGTTCAACAATAGAAATGTCACCTAAGTAGACTAATTTCAGTAAATCAGTATATAACAATGAAATTTTAAAATGAGGAATTATCAAACATTCAGATCCTGGTGAAAAGTTTGTTCCTGTATATCTCTCAGATTTTTTCAATTTCCTTATATAAAAAATCTTGGTCACGCTATTCTTCATTTGAAAATGACTGACTATATCTTTTGATACTTTCCTTGATAAAATTCCTCAAGGAATGAAAATATTTTCCTCTTGTCTTTGAAATCCTATAATTTAATGTTAAAATTAATTTTATCCTTCCATCATTATTAGAATAAATTATTTTTATGGGCAAAATAGGTTAACAGAGGAGTTTAGTCACAAACCTTTTTAGCTGCTGTTCAGTGCTGGCCGTGTCCACTCGATGAATTGGTTGATTTTCTTGAATCAACTTCGAGATCTGACAACACGGAAAAGAAATTTAATATAGTTCAATCATATATTTTCTCTTTATATGTGTTTCAGCTGGGGAACACATCATCTCAAAATATTGGACAACCAAAAGAAAGGTTATAATTCTCTAATTTACATTAACAAATTCTTATTTACACTTTGTCATTGGACAAGTGAGAAAGTAAAGATCAGAAAAAAAAGATTCAAGACTGGGAGAAATACTGTCCAAACTGACAGTCTCCAAAAGATCCTGCACCAGCCTGTTGGTGGGGGTGGAGAGGGAGGGAGAGGTCCCATCTGATGGTATATTTGTGGAGAGAGAGTGCCAGATAATTTTGATATTATTTATTGGATCTTTCAAAATAAAACAAACTGACTCAAGTATAACTAATATATATATATATATATATATATATATATATATATAATTTATTTATTTATTTGACTGATTTAGATTGGAGAGAGTCCTTTGATATTTGGTGTAGCAAAAGTTTGTTTATAAATCAGATTTTGGTAACAGTTGAGAGAAAGTCAATTTTGGCTCAGTAGGTGGAAGTTTAGAAGTTATATTGTAGTAGTTGTCATCTTTCATTGGCTTTAAGAAAGGCATAGAAGTGTCTTTAGTAGATAATCGAGCTTATTTCTTTACATGATACTCATGGCTGGTTTCTCTGGTGTTCCCTTCTCGTTCTTTGCCTCTGAACTGTCAGTTTATATCCTTTTGACAACAATCCCAGACTACTGGGGCAAACTTAATTCTTTTGATTGGCAAAAATAAAATATTTTATTTTCCTGCATTCTTTTCTTTTTCATTTTTTTTTTTTTTTTTTTTTTTTTGTGGAGCCTCTCTGATTTTTGGTAGTTTTTAGTCACAAATTTCTAGAATTTGGTCCAGCAAATTTCCACCATTTTGTGATTGAGTTCTTTCTTTTCTTCCTCCTCCTCCATGTTTTTTTTATTCGAGAGAGAGAGAAAAGGTAAGGGTTTTAAAGGAAATCACAAATGCCTTATTTTAATTTGAATTCTTTTAATTTTTGTTTATATTTGTGTGTGTGTGGGGGGGGTGATTTCACTGCACATAAGGACCCTATGACAAAATTGAGGCTTCTGGTAGAAGAATACTTACTAGGCTAAGTACCAAATACTGTTAGTCTAACTTTAAGGTAAATGACAGGTGAGGGTTATAGATTATTAAATTATAATAAAACAAGTACCAAAGTTTGTCCAAACATAAATGTCATGACATGATTGCTTTATCTACATTCTGGACATTGCAATTTTATACAAATTTTCCAAGTGAGGACAGACCTTGAAAATCAGCATTGATTTCTTTTATGTCTCCCTCCTGTGTGACTTCTTTTTTGTTTAGAACTCAAACAACAAAAAAATATTTTTATGTTTATCTCACAACATTCTACTTCGGTGTTGTAGTGGATTAGCCAACCTCTATCGCTGACAAATACAAATTAAACTCTCTACTATTTTTACTAAATCAAATGCAACAAAGACAACAGAAAGAAGAGAAATAATTAAATAGGCAGATATTTGTTTTAACAGAAAATATTTTTATATCACAAGATGATACATGATATATTAAAGTTGTTTAAAAAAACTATAGAGTTCTTGGTGTGATCAGAGGTAATATAAAAGGTGTTATGCTATAGCTCTGGTAAGAAATTAAACAGTTTATGTTGATGGTGAAATTGAATGAAATAGATTGCTTGACTTACTGTAGAGTTGTCTCTCTTCGAATGATATAGTTACGATTTCCTTTATATTGTTAACATATTGAGTGAGTTGGTTTCTGTATCTCATCTTGGTTGAATTGGTCACTAGATGAGTTGATGTTGAAAAGAAATTAAATTCCACAAGCCAGGTTGATTTTAATAAAAATTAACTTTTTAGCGAGGAAGTTCAGTTTCATGGATTCATGTGATGAGTTAATTATTTTAAGGACTCACTGACTAAGTTGTGTCGAAGTTTCCTATTTATGAGTTTTCTTGATCATGTGGTAGCCTCGAAACAATGTTTACCAATTTTTGGCATGTTGAACTCTGAACAGGTCAGCTCAAGGTCAACCATATAGATGTAGGGAGAAACATGACATTATTATTTATGGACCAATCGGAAAGTATTTTTTCGTACTTGATATGTCCGGAAAGGGATATATTTGTTCGAAGTAGCAAAATGGTTGTTGACTACTGTAACCGGGTAGGACAATCTAGCAGGTAACCATAATGGACTGGTCCTCGTTGTAGTGGTAGGCAATAGGCATTGTCCATGTACCTCCACATCAGTCTGTATTTATGGCTGACACCAGCCAATCATATTACTCTGAGGGGGAACCCAGGTGTATGCATAGTGATTACATCAGTACTGAACTCTGGAGTTGATTTTAATGGGTTCAGCACAAACTGAGAATACTTAACTGTGATTCTCTTCTAACAAGTTTAAAACAAAGAATCTTCAGTGTCTCAATTTGAAAAAGTTCTTTCATAAGATTGTACATTACACAATACATCTATGATAATAAAATTCCAAACTATGATCTCCTCTCATAAGAGATAAATATGCTAAGTATTTTTGGTAGAATAAATAAAACTTACCTCTACTCCACGTTTAACAATTTCTAGAGGTAAACCTGCCTGCAAGGCTGTTTCATTGGCAAAACTACTTTTAGCAAAACCTGGAATAAGTTGGAAAAGAAAAACTAATTCTTCTCCATTGTGCATTGTCTCCATTGTCTGCAAGTAAAAAAAAAAAAAAACACAAACAATCAGCAACAGCCTGGTATATAAAAATAAAAAGGGAGAAAGTCATAGGGAAGGATACTACATATATAATGGGAAGGAAGGGTTTATTTATATATATATATATATATATAAAAAATGGGAAAATTGTGCAAAATACTGGTTACAACTTACCTTGAAATATTAAAGCCTTTAAATTTTGACATCTATTGTATCTAGATTTCAACTTAGATTATTTCATTCAACATTTTATAACTTATTGTTTTTAATTATTCCACATTGTATTAGTATTGATTTTTGTGAGGAAAGGATATAATATATTTTTTCCTTAATAAATTACTTTCTCTTTTAATCTAAACTTCATTCTTTAAGTCTAAATTATAGCAAGAACTATTATAATGAATGATGACTGAATCTAGAGTATTGTTTTGTAAACAATCCTTCTTATATTTTAGGATATCTTTTAAATTCTTACACATTTCACCAATGTGTATTTCTTGTGACATTTTAAAGTTTATTCTGTAAATTCTTCTTTCAAGTTTTATCAAGGTTATGTAATTTTTATTTGTGGATTTTGTAATCTTTTCTCTTTGCATTATTTATAAAATAATTGGGATATTAGAAGAGTTTAAATGTATTTTCAATGTATTTCTCTTCATTAATGGTTACAAATTGTAAGGTATCTTAAGCAAAAACATATAGTTTTTGGTGGATTTTAATAGCAGTTTAATTTTAACATGACATTGAAAAAAGGTAACTTATTGCTCATTTTGTCTTATATGTAAATTCAATTGTTGTAGTGAACTACTGCAGAGGTCAAAGAGGCCCAGGGTAACACAACGATTCAACTGATAGTAGCAGATAGGAAAAAAAACTGCGAGGAGGGTAACCGACAAAAACAGTGTCACACGTCCAACCTTCTCACGAGCAAAAAAACCCAGTGATCAGAAACAAAAACGTGCCTGCTTTATACAGCCGAGGACTGACCAAGATTTGCATGCGAATGACAAGACAACAAGACTCACTTCTAGTTCAGGCAGCAGGTTGGCTTCAATGCCTTTCACACGGACATGATATTTGTGCAGTGCATCAGCCGGCGCCGTGGATGGTGAAACGCTATCTTTTGGGGTGACATTATACCAGTAAACCACCTCCGATACTGTACAGCCCTTCCTGGCTGCGATGGTCTTGACGGTTCTGTGGTTTCGCTCTATGATGCCGTTTTCACTCGGCGAGTAGGCACATCGAAACCGCAGATGCACGTCCCAATTGTCCACAAATTTTTTTAAAGTCTTTACTGGTGAATGCAGTATCGTTGTCAGTCAGTATTTCCATGAGTGGGCCCCGCTCCAGGAAAACGTTCTCCAACAGTCGAATGATGGTGCTCGAATCTTGTCGGTGCAGTGGCCGCCATACCGCAAGCCTAGAGGGACTGTAATCAATAAACGTTAAAAAATTCTCACCATTGTAGTGAGTTATGTTCATCGCTAGTCTGCTCCAGTTGCTCTTCACGCTCAGTTCTCCTCTTTCCCAGTGAACGGGTGCCAGATCGATTGACTGACAGGTTGTGCAGGCCTTCACAATGGATTTAATGCTTTCTCTGGACACCTGCGGGTCGACTAACCTGGCGAAGTACAGAGTTCGTTTCACACCTGGATGTCCACTTTGACGATGGGTATTGGCTACCTGGTCCTCATCCAGTCGTCTCCCTACCACTGCACAGCTCTCGAGCACCGGTGCTCCTCTCTTGAGCAGTTCTAGCCACCTGTGCGGTACTCTGGTGAGGTGATCCGCACGGTTCTAACAGGACTGTATGAGTGTCACGTCTATGGTCAATCCATATTCTTCCACCAGCGATCGCATAATGCCCAGCCATCGCCTAACCAGCATCTCGCCAGCCGCCCTTTTGTTTACCCATGCCTTCCTGGTCAAGGTGTCAGAAATCCACCGGTGCATGTTTTCGCCTCCCACTGGAGGGCTAGATTGACTCCTTTAAGCACCGCATCGAGTTCAGCTAAATTAATATGCCTGGCATCATTAGACGGATGCAGCCAACATGCATCTTCGTTGACATTTCTGTTTGCTTCCAATGCCACTCCTGTCGCCACGGAACTCGCATCCACCCAGACTGTGATCTCATCACCACTCATGCACCAGTTTCCTCCAATGGGATCCAGTTCCCGCACTCTACTTAACATCTCCGCTAGTATGCGACAGAGAGAGGGATCTTTGATGTTATCATCCCATCCATTGGTTGCTGGGGTCGCTTGGCGAATGCAACTGCCACCCTGAGCCATCCACACACGGGGAAATGTCCAACAAGTTTCCCAAACAGCGAAAATACATGCCGACGGGTCAACACATCAGGGACTTCCAGAATCTGACCGTCATTTCTATCAGAGGGTGCCATTCTCTTCCCAGACTTGCAAGCCAAGAACTCTTGCTCCATCTCTCAGTTGCACCAGATCCTTGCACACCAAACTGTAATCTGAAAAGTGTTGTCGTACACGCGATGCAGAGACCAAACTTTCATTAATGAAAATATCAACGTATGCTGATGTGGCACTTTCAATTGTGCGGTCTTTGAAAATAACCGTTTGAAATGGCCACAGCACTTCGTCGATATGAATCTGAAGATATATTTCGCAGACCCAGAAGTGGCACATTGACTCCCTCCCATCGCCACATTCTCAGCTTATGTGTGCACACCTCTGCATTGGCAGTAAAAGCATCCACAAAGTCGTTCGATTCGCGGTAATCGAGTACCGGACGCACCTTCTGTTTCTGCTCCTGCACAACTGCCATCAAGGGAATCAGACCCTTTGGGGGTCCCAGTCTTTCCTGGGGGTATGGAATCAACCAGCCGTTCACAATCCACTGTTGAAGCTCTTTCTCATATTTTCCTCTGATGCTGTCAGGAACTTTGTACTCTGTGACCTTGTTGTGAAGCTGAACTGGTGGGTCTTTTTGGGCCCATTTCCACCTGGCGGTCCACACCCTCTCGTCGAAATTGAAAGAGACTTCGAAATCCGGCTCACTAATGCAAAGGGCTGCACACACCTTTCTTCCTTTACCCAGTTCCACATTTCCAGTTAGCGTGATTATTATGCCTCCTAACGCTCAGATCGCATCGATCCCAAGCACCAGGTCATAACCGAGGGGCCTTTGAGATGCCACCAAAATGTCGACCTTGGCACAATTCCCTCCGTCTGTGAGGATTGATACAGTCCTGACACTACAACAGGCCCGGGACACTCCGTCAATCGTCTGAATCACGATTTGTTGGCTGCTCCATGTCACACATCGATCCGCACTAACGATCGATCGGGAACATCCAGTGTCGACGAGCGCCGAACATCATTTACCCTCAACGCACACAACAGGCAATGCCGCATTTACTGACCGAGAGGGGGCAAGGGTTGCAACAGCACCTTGTCCCCGGACTCATTTCCCGAGCAATCCTGTGCTGCATGGCCTAACTCATTGCACCGATATCAGCGTAGTCATGCTCGTGTCCGTCAGCTGCTCCCGCCTCCTACATCACTTCGGCTCTGGCAGTCTCTAGAGAAATGGTTGGGTCCACCACACTTGTAGCACTTTGGGCCCTCCCACAGTGTCTCGGGCATTCTCACGGCTGCTGCGACCTGTTCCGTGTCTTTCAAGATGTTTCGGGTCCTGGCTAGCAATTCATCAATTCCCAGTGTGTCCAATCTTGAAGACACTCGCAGGAGCCGATTGGTGTCGTCGGGAAGTTCTGCCAGGAAGGCGTATTTAATTATGTGGTCCGTTGCTCCGCCAAACGGCACTGCCAGCCTTCGCAAATCGGCCAGGTAGACATTCACCGGCTTGAGTCGTCATCCGACGAACTGTTTCCAAGCGATGAAGGGGTCTATTTCAAAGGCCATATATAGGGCCCTCTTTATCTCTTCTAGGTCAGCATCATCCCCAAGTTGTTGATATACAGCATAGGCTCCCCTTGTGAGTCTCAGTGGGATGACCAGTGCAGGGTCTTTTATTTTGGACACCCTGCAAACACGTTCAGCCTTCTCAAACCATTTGACGACAGTCGGGCCCGTGGGGGAACCATTGAATTCTGGGATCAATTTTAGATCGAACTTGTCCATTGCCGAAATAGCTTATGGTGGTAACACAATGACTCAACTGATAGTAGCAGATAGGGAAAAAAAAACTGCGAGGAGTGTAACCGACAGAAACAGTGTCACACGTCCAACCTTCTCACGAGCAAAAAACCCAGTGATCAGAAACAAAAATGTGCCTGCTTTATACAGCTGAGGACTGACCATGATTTGCATGTGAATGACAAGACAACAAGATTTCATGTTAACTGTCTGAGACCGTGTGGCATAAAACAGGGGCGCCGCCATTTTGGTTCCTTTTACTGTTGAGCAAACCGGAGTTTGTACATCGCACAGATTCGCAGGCATTTCCAAGGTAGGCCATTTTCACAATTTTCCCCACAGTGATCAAAGAAACTATTAGCATAAAGCTTATGGTTACATCCAGCTGTTTCAATTGTAAAATGATGAGACCTAGCTGCCAATCTAGTACTGCACTATTTTCATGTTTTTGGAATACCATAAAGTCTGACTGATAATAAAACATGATAGAAATTGATTAAATAATTTTTAAATGATTTGCTGAATTTTTGTGTTTGGGAAATTTATGTTCATCATTTTTTTGTCTTTCATGAATATTTACGTTACTAGATCCGAATTCTCTCCATTTAATTTATGCCCATATCATCCAAGCTATCTTTTCCTCCCCAAATTAATACTAATACAAAATGTCATATAAGAAAAAACTGTCTTCTGTACACATTTTACAATGCATTTTAATGTCTACACATTAAAATTTAGATTAACAATGTAATACTGGTGAAATTTTCCAGAAATGAACACTATTTAGTTCCAGAAATGAACACTATTTAGTTCCAGAAATGAACACTATTTAGTTCCAGAAATGAACACTATTTAGTTCCAGAAATGAACACTATTTAGTTCCAGAAATGAACACTATTTAGTTCCAGAAATGAACACTATTTAGTTCCAGAAATGAACACTATTTAGTTCCAGAAATGAACACTATTTAGTTCCAGAAATGAACACTATTTAGTTCCAGAAATGAACACTATTTAGTTCCAGAAATGAACACTATTTAGTTCCAGAAATGAACACTATTTAGTTCCAGAAATGAACACTATATCCTGTTTATTTATTATCAAATATATATATATATATATTCTAATAGATATAAATTTTTTTGTGTCAGGTTTTATCTGTTGTAATTTATTTGCATATCTTTTTTAAATTTATTTAGGGAAAAAAAGTTTAAGCCAGAGAAACATATTTGATTAACACATTGTTCCATATAATAAAATAATTTATTACAATATTGGCTCCTTGACATTCTCTAACCTTCGTCAGTCTTGCAATCATTGATTTTAATTTTTCTACTGTTTCAACTTTAACAATACTTGCAATATTTTTATTACTTCCCAGAGATATTTCTGCTTGAATATTATTTCCCATTCTCATAATATCTGTTCTGTAGCAGATGAAATGTGATATTAAAACAGAATTTGGATCCAGCATTTCAAAATTAGAAATTATCCCAATTTCCCAATGGATCATCTTTGAAATTCTCTATCTACACAAAATGACAAAGTGGAAACCTTGAATATAGAGTTCATAATAAATTTGGTCTACATGAAGAGAAATTGTAAGAGGAGAACTTACCTGGTATGTTATAATATGAGACTGGGGCAAAAGATTGTATTGAATGATACAATGAAAATGCGTGCTGACAAAAACATGAGGGCATCTCTCATTCATTGCTATCCAATATCGGAGGCTAGAAGCAAACAAGGCCAAGCCATCAGCCTGTTGAGTAAGAAAGAATTAACATTATGTCAGAGCTCATTTAAGGAACTATCTCATTAGTACAAAATGAATGATGGCCTTGAAATACTTTCTTCATATCAGAGAAGAGGACAATATTTCAATCCTTCAGGAAAAGGTACAGAGCAGCAATAAAGGAAAAATCCATTGAAATGAACAACATCCTGACAGAATTTATCATTTAAGGAGGAGAAGATATGGTCAACCTCCTCATCTGAATTCTGTACCCCGTCCCCAGTACTCGTGTTTTAAATAGAGAAAACGTAGTTGTACCAAACTACAAACCATTCCAAGCAGATTCTACTGAAGGTCATCTTGTACCTGCTGAAGCCTACAATAGAAATTAATTACAAAAGAACAAGTAGATTTTTAGGTGTGAGTGTACCAGATTTTCAACTTGGCAATTCTATGAGAAATAACTGCATCCTCAACATTTGTGGACTTCAAGAAAGCCTTTAATAGAATCTGATATCCAGCCTTATTGGTAACACAGAAAATACATCAACATCTTGTGCAAGTCATCAAACAACCTATACAGTTCTCTACAATGGCTTTATAGTGGTGTGTGACTTTGGGATTAAAATGGAACAGTTGCTTTACCCATGTCAAGAAGGTTAATGACAAGGAAATACACAGGAAATTTTTAACAAGAGAAGGAATTTATTTACACATTTGAAGTTGTGTCAGTAGCTCATTTCAGGAAAAGCAATCAAAAATGTTTAAAGTGTATAAATTCAATGAATTGTCATGAAGAGAAAATGAACAGATTAAATCATCTGACACAAAATACAATAATATTCAAAAATGCTTAAGACAAGAGTTCATTTTTCACATAAGGATTATTCGGTTGCATACATTCAAAAGTAGATATAGAGAGATAGTTTGAAATACTTAGCTTTCTTGGATTGTTGAAATAAAGTTCTTTGAAATGCCAAGTGCTTCATTAAGGCCAGTAATATAATTAGCAAGTAATTTGACACTGAAGAAAATCTGAACACGTGAACAGAAATTAAACTTTTAGACTTTGGACACTCTTCTTTTGTTGATTTAATTTCTTTTTTTTCTTATTTTATATGAAAAAGATTTCACATAGGATCATTATTTTCTTTTTCTAGGCTAATTCCTTTGAAAACAATGTTTTCATTGGTTCAAACAAAATTTCACAGAGGCATACAAATTTGTTTTCAGCACACCAGTCAGTCTTTTCAGACCAATGATTTCATATAGACTCATGAATTTTTTCTGTCTTTTTCCTCAGCTGCCCAAATTTGAAGGGAGCAGATAAAGAGCTATTATTTCATACACATCACTTCCCATTTGACAGTCCTTTAGTACATTAATAGTGGTTGTATGTATTGTCTCTTTCAAGTAACCGATCTTCCAGACTTAGTCCTTTTTGTGTTTTGCTATCTTGTCTTCATATTCCTGCCAATATCTGGTGAGGTATCTCTTCGTGTTGGTATTGCTTTATCAATATTATCTATTTTCGCCATTTCTAAGAAAACTGCTGGTTTTGATCTATGGAAACCTTACTATTCACATTTTCTGCAATTTTAATAGTGAAGTACTTATTATTGCAGTTAACTACTTTATATGGACCTTTATATGGGGCTTCCAGAGATATCCAAACCCTGTAAGTCCTAATCCATACAAATTTACAGTAGGATATGGGGTTTGTGATGAATATAAGTGTCTGGTGGACACATTCACTATGTAAAATTTTCACATTTCACTCAGCAAGCGTCTTATTGTCAGGTTTGATACTTTTTCATTACCCTTATTACATGTGGGTCTCTATTAATAGTCTTGGAACTTGTATATGACACACCATCACTGCTTTATATAGTGACTAAGTTGATTTGTCGGGTGTAATTCTGATAATTGATACCTAAGAGTACAATAGCTAAACATGATTCCTTCCTTGCAATTAGCACTGTTTTTAGTGTTCTGCGTGTGCATTCAATTAATCTGTTTATCTGAAGATGGTACAAATTTGTTCTTAGTCTATGAAAGCCTATGATCTTTGATAGGTCTGAAAATGATTCTAAGTGGCTAGTACTATCAGTGTCGCACAAGCAAAAGGGATTTATTATTTTGTACTCGCTACAACATCACTGGGAACTGGTTTAAGAAAATTACCAATCCTCAAAAGCTTTCTAAAACAAAATAATGAATCCACTGGTTTACCATTAGTATGGGAAGCAGAACTAACTTTTGTTTTGCCATTGACTTCAATGGTTCAGTAGGAAAAGTAAAAGAACTCTGTTAATACAGAAAAGACTAATACTGACATCAGGGAAACTGAATTCAAACTTGGTTCAAGTAATTGGTTGTTTTAATCTCAGGTAAAGAGTCTAAAGAAATTTTGTCCAGAATAGTTTAGATAACAGCAGCAGCACTCATTCAAGTGAATCCAATTGGGAGTGACAGAAGCATCAGTTGGAGGGTGTCATGGCTACAATGCGAGATGGATATGTTCACTTGTCAGTACTTTTATATTTACATGAAATATGGCTTCAAAGAGGAATCCAAACCATAGAAATTAGGCTCTACCAGGAAATCTTGTGTATTTCCTCTGCTGAATACATCACTAAATGCAGAGATCAACCAAAAAATCAACTGAAACATTTGGCCTGATAACAAGATCTTCACACCATCATTAAATTACCAAATCAGAAGGACTTGCAAAGATTGTTTTGCAGGGAAATCTGCTTATCTTTCTAGTCATTGATAGACATAGAAAAAGTTATAAAGGAAACATTAGAGAATGGACTACTCTAAGCATCAATGAATCTGTGATCTACAAAGGACAGATGATGAGAGCTGTTTCCTGTTGCCCTGATGACCCTTCAAGTGGGTTATTGAATAGATAAATGTGCTTGTCCTCCATTTCAGCAAATGGTACATTCATGTTCTTAGTTTAAATTTTCTGCTGACTTTTAAATGCTAACTTATATATAAAATTGACATTTGTCTACTGTATTAATATTGATGTTTTAACATCAGATAGGTGTTGAGGTTCACGTAAATGATTCCTTATCCAAGTCTCATACTTAACGTAGGTAGCTGCTTATCAACACTGTATCTTGGTGCCTGAAGTTTATTGACTATGAAGGATACAGTTGTTTGTTAATCTGGTGTCTGGTATCTATATAGAATTTCTCATAGAACAAAGTTTGTTTTTTTTCATTTCAAATTTCACTGGCCAAGTAATAATCTTCCAAATAGGAAAGGCCTGTCAGCCTTGAAAATCAGTATTCAAAATCTTTACATGTGATCAAACACCAGCCACTGATTCTGGTAAGAAATACATAACCAGTACAACACCTAAGAGCCCCTTCCATAATTCACATATCTTTCCATTAGGATCTCCTGCCCTACACCATATAATTGCCATTAATTAATGGAATGGTCTAAAAATTGGATTTCAAATATAAAACCATCTCCCAAGGTAAATTATAAATTCAACTTACTGTTTCAGTTCCTTTTCCAAATTCATCGACAATTACAAGTGACTGGCTTGTGGCATTTCTCAATGCATCTGACATCTGAAAACAAAAATAATTGTGGAAGGAAACTTTGATTTACAGCCTTTTTATTTATTTTAAATAAAAAGCCATGATACACAAACACCTCACAATATGAAGAGAAAAAAAAACAAAGCTGATGAAAATGTCCTTAATTTGGCAAAGTAAATTAAATCTATTAAACTATAAAGCATGACTCTATAGAATCATTTCTGATAGTTATTCTAACAAAAATATATAGATGGACCCAAGGTTGCATTGAGAATGCTGTTTTAGCATTCTTAGAGAAAAAATTGTCTACAGAAATTTTATCAATTTAAATATCACAAAAATATCTTTAATATGCATAATGTTTTCAGAAATTGTTTTAAATTTAATCTTTCAAACAAACAAAATTCATATGTGCTAAAATATACATAGGACATTTTATAGTTTTTTTTTTTATAACCAAACATTTACATATATTTGTGAAACTTTATGAAAACTTATAAATTTCATTGACTGTTTCTATTAATATAAAGATATGTACACTTGTGTGTCCATGCTTATAAAGATGTTTTCTTATTAGAAATTTATATTTGTATTTTGTGCACTAATTGAAGATTTATTGAATAACATCTTCGATCTCACCTGGTTAATATCCAACATGAAAGTGGAAAGGCCAACAGACACACTCTCTTGGGATTTGATCCGGGTAAAGATCCTATCCACAGTACAAATTGTGCTGGGGCTCTCAGCTGGAATGAAGCTGCCAATGCATGTCATATACACAATGAGGGCTACCTGCAGTTGGGGAAAGAAACATTCTTTTTTTTACTTTTTCTTTCTTAACATGATTATGAATCTTTATTTGAAAGACTAGAGGAATAACAAATGATAAATTGACGGAAAAATCAGCAGCAGCATAGTTGCCATATTGGGTCATACTTCTGACATTTTCTGCTTGTTACTTTCAAGGCAACTTCTCTCTCCTCCTAATCCAAAAAAAAATAATAGCAAATTCTGTCAGTGTGTCTGAAACCCCTGTAACTAAGACCACACTTGCTCTACACAGACATATTCTACTTCTTTGGAATCTGGATGATCCAGGATTGAAAATCTGCCCTTCATCTGGTGCTTGAATATCTAGCACTGGGATCTGTGTCCAGATGAGAAGATAACAAATAAAAATTCAAATTTTAAAATAACTGAAAAAATTAATGATTTTAAGTTTTTATTTTATATTGAGTTTAAAGTAACACAAAAACTTTGAATTTAAAAACTTATTTTAAACTGAATTTAAAACATCTTCAAAACTTTGAATTGGGAAAATCAATTTTATTTCTTCAACTTTGATTCCTTGGCATTTTAAAGTGAAAGTTTTCATGATATGAGATTTTGAAGTTCCACAGAGTTAATGATTTGAAGAACTCAATTTTTGGCCTGAATTGGAATTTCAGCCCAAATCAGTCTTTTGGACAGAATCAGTGTTAAAGTGAGATTTTGAAGTTCCATGGAGTCATTTGAGGAATTCAAAGTTATTTCTTCAAAATTATTATTGCTGTTTTCTAAACTGGACCAGAGGTCCCTTTAGTTTTTGGCAGAGTGTATCTTTTAATCTAGTATAAAATAAACTGTGTTAATTTCAGTTATTAATAAGAGGCAATTCAAAATTTAGTCAAATGCCTGGTTTTCAAAAGTGAAGTTATCTAGGGCTTCAAATATCAGATTTATATCAAGTATTCTGCCTTTAATATTTAGACAATTTGACCCTTGATTTGGCTTATACTAAATAAGAGTAAAAGATTAAACTCTGTCTGAGAAACTGATTTCTCCAAAGATCATAAAACAAAGAAATTGTTACTTGTTTCAAATAAACGCTTTTCCCTGAAGCATTGGGACTTGTAAGAATCTTGATTTTAGAATTGGAACCACCACTGAAAGTGTCATTTGGAACAAATGGGCTGCACACTATTTCTTGGAGTGGATGCCTGGAAATAAACCAAAGAAAATTATGGTTATAAATTGGTACCCTATTGTTTTTGCTTTGGGAAATGATAGTTGAATATAAAAAAAAAATAAACAAACCTGCCATTTTTTATCTCAATTACATTATTTTCATTAAGAATTGGTTGGACATAACCAAATTCACGGGCGGATTGAGCAAAAGCCATGAGGCTGAAAAGAAAACCAAACAAAAGTAATTTATTAGAGAAAGACATTTTTCATTTCTTGATTCGATGATTGTTTATAAATTGACAATAGAATTGCATTAATGGCCACACATCATTTTATCTGTTAATAGTTATTCAAAATCTCATAAGGCCCAAATTTCTTAAGGACATTACTATAAAAGCTTTCTAAAATATACAACCTTGTACCAGACTTGATTGAAACCATTAATGGCCACAACAACTAAAATCAATAGCACATGTAACAAAAAGAGGACATAATCAAGATGTTAACATTCCACACTACATCAAAGAGTGTGTTCGGAATGTATCCCCCATTGATACTGGAAAAAGCAATAACAGCTATTGGATTTGAGAAAACTATTTTCCTGAAAAAAGTGTTTCAAGAGAAAGATTCTATAACTTTCAGCCTCTAGTAGTACTGGCTGCTTGGACAATGAGGGCCAAATGTTTTTTGTGTTTTTTTTTTTTTTTTGTTAAATCTATATCACCCCAAGCATTGCAGTAAAGCCATTAAGACACAAGGGGTTACAGGAAGAGGAAAAATTAGGAACAGAAACATTACTCTTTCCTCTTCCTGCTCATTAGTAACCAAGAGGACAATAGATAGCAATTGACATTGCATTTAAATTTTTGCAGATTAAAGCTGGCTGGAACCAGAAGAGTGTTCCACAAGTGAGAAATATGAGAAAAGAAACTGTTAGCATAGAATTCAGTTACATCTAGCCAGCTTAACTGTCAATTGATGAGATCTCAATGCCAGTCTAGTACTGCACTTAAATTCCTGAAGTCTAGGTACCATAGTGAAGAGCTCATATGAAAGTATTTATAGAAAGGACACAGGCAACCTTACAGTGGTGAAGAAAGTGATTGAAGCCAAGCTGCCAGATCAGGACCAATAATATTGCTGATTCTTCTTTGGATTTTATCAAGGTGCTTAAGGTAAATAGCAGGGGCAACCAGACCATATGTGGCAACAATATTCTAAGCATGGACAAATGGTAGACTTATAGATATTTAATATAGATTCTGGAGAGAAAAATTGTCTCGCATGGCAAAGTGGACTAACTTTCTTATAGAGAAACAACTAATATTACCATTACATACATATTCAATCCTTTCTGTTGTATTATAGCACCAACCATAGGAGGTGGAGATGTTATACAATTATCAAAAAGTGCCTTGAAACTGAAAAAGTAATAATATAAGTTCTTTAAATTAATTAATCTCTCTGGTAGAATAAGCAGCTGAAAGCTTCCATTCTCAACTTTCTTTTCTGCTTCAGGCTCCCTTGAGACTCCCTTTCAGGACCCTCCCCCTGTCCAATGGGGATGCACCAAGAAAGCATTCTGGCAAATGGCAAAAGGAAAAAACTTAAAATAAAATTTCTATTCTGTAAACCTCATGATATCTGGTTCCAAATTAAACAATAACAGTCTGAAGTCACCTTTCATTGTCATATCAATTCTATTTGTGGATTTTTATCAAAGACACTACCTTCCTTGATAAATCCACATTCAAGCAAATATTTAAACAAAATAAATTAAAAATAACAATGTTGGATTTAATCCATTTCCTAAAAATAAATCAACAAAAAATGTTGAAGGGAAAGTTTTCTTTATTGTTTCCTGTTGCTTCTAATTTTTACCAAGATCACATTTGGGGCCTCCACCTTTTTAGAGTTTTCAGTCTACAATCCCTTCAACTGTGCTCGGAGACACAAGGGTGTCATATGGGTACTTCTGAAAATGGTCAAACAACAAGTTTCAGAATCCAATATTTTTTTCTTTTTTTTTATCAATTCATCTTAAGCAAGGCAATAATGCCACTAAGACACAAGTGGCTACTGCAAGTGAAAGAGAAAAAAAAAAGATTTTAGGATTGAGTTTCTCTTTCCTTCTAAAGAGGAAACAACAGGTAAACCTCTACTCATGTTCAAAAACTGGGGCAGGATATGAACCAGGTGAACCTATCTACTCCTACTGAGAAGGAGGAAAAAAATAAACAAATAGTAAATAAAATTTCAGTTCGGGTGGAGACATGAGAAGAGTATAGAGAGTTGAAGCAGAATTTAAAAAGAACTGGGAATTCAATGCTAAACGGGGAAACAAAGGAAAAGCGTCAAACTACATTTATTATATTAATTCTGCAAACGTCATGATATCTGACAAGATGAGCTCTCAAATGTTGTTTTTTAGAAATTTGATATCTTTTTATCAATAATATTTAAAAATTTTACTTGGAGTAAAACTTCTTCAATCAAAGTAAGGTTTTTAAGAAATAATATTAGCTATTTTGTTTTTAACAATCTAAGTCAAGACACCCACATGTGTCATCTTTTGGGTGGAGGTGGGGTTTCAACTGTACATATATTAAGAGACACGGGTTCTACCCTGTGTGTCCACAGTTTTCATCTAACTGTTAATAATTAGGTATCATCTATTGTTTAGTAGGAATGATCTTTTGCATGACACCATTGCAGTTAAATGCTCAAAGATCTGGTCTGCTAGATTCTGCCATTGACCACATCCAACATCCTGATGCCAGTATCTTCACTGTAACCCTGGTAAGTGTGGTTTCTGGGTGCTATGCCTTGTCAAATTACAACCCAAAAAAATACGCAAGTTTAAATAAGATACAAATAAAATGTCCTTCATCTCATGATAATTTTTTTTTCAATGACAATTCTTTTTTCCAAGAAACTAAAAAGTATTTAAAAAAATGTTTAATTGGTATTGTAAAATTCTTAGTTTGACCAAAAGACTTTCAAAAAAGTTCTGATGTTTGGTCAGATTTTGATAAGTGGGTTAGACTGAAAACTTTTCAGCACCACCATCTCAATGAAGTTGATTTTTAGCTTAAGAATTAAGAGAGGAATTAATAGCATTATAAACAGTTCTACTACACTGAAAATAATAAAATATTGAACATTGACAACATAATTATGTCTTTACAATTCCAACAAGATACATGCATCTTGATTGTTAAACTCGTAATTTGATATAAATGAGCATTAGTCTGAATATTTGTTCAATAATAAATAAACAGAAAAAAAGAACACTTAGCAGTTTTATTTTTCAAGAATATCATAACATTTCCGGAGATGAAATATTTTTCTGATATACAGAGAATTTTAAGAATAGTTTAAAATGAAATTGTATTTAAAAAGCCAATCAAAAGAAATCACCATTCACCAACCACTCTATTTTAATATTTCAAAGAATAACTTTAGTAATAAAAAAGAAAAATAATTATAAACTGAGATTCATGAAATCATTCTTGCAAGAAACTCTCTCACTATGGAAAAGTTGTTCATTTTCAAAATTATCACCTACCAATCAAGTTCTGCTGTATGTTCCATAACATGAGACAATACGGCGCTGTGCTCAAGAACCGTGTCTTGAAGTCGGTGCATAATGATCGTTTCATGATCTGAGAAAAAAAAATAATAAAAGGAAAAATTTTAGCAAACTGCATTTTAAGAATTTTTACATGTATTTTCTTAGCAGAAATTCCATGGTGCATATCTTCAATTTAAGATTAAATTAGAAATATATTTTAATGATACAAGCAATACAGATATCATATTTGCAGGTTTAACACAACTTCATATCTGTTAACAAACTTACTGAAAAATCTCCAATAACATTCATTTTCCATGATTTCACTAAAATAATATACATCATAAAACTGATATTGTTACTGTAAGTCATGTATTTTTGACATGATTTTAGAATGAACAAAGGAAAATAATGATTGTGACAAATATATATTTTTACTTTTAGCAGTGTTGAAAGTTTGATGATTGCATTTTATTATCATAGAATTAAAAAATATTTTTTGACACAATTTGTAAAGATGAGTCTTTATTGATGATTTTCCTTGACTGGTTTTGTTATCTGCCCATGACACAGAAACAGAATCCTACATTACCAGTTAATTACGTGTACTGACAGGATTTTAGGTGCAATCAAAAGTAAAGCATTGCCCAGGCAATTTCAGGAGTGAACCACAGTACACCTAATATAGTCTCTGTCATAAGGTGGACCCAAGAGATATGTCATAGACAAAACAAAGGGTAAAATGTCATTTATACTATTTATATTGTTTGGACTGTTGTCCTCATCATGATGTACAATGGCCAAAACATTGTGAATATAACAACAAAAATAAGGAAAACAGTTTGAACAATGTAAATAATTAAAATACCTCATCTCATAAATATAGACAGATGGCAAAATGTCTATTTTTTCTTCTTTTTTTTTATAGCTGACCTGACAAAAGCATTTGATATGATAAACATGGCCAAACCTCTAGAAAAATTGGATTGTCCACCAAATTTTTTCATAATCATCTAATTCCACAGATTTCACCAAATTCTTCCCAATCAAATAAGCAATAATCTGAGTTATTCTGCTGCAACCACCCTACTTCACACAATATTCTTTAGCCTGATGCTAAAATAGGCTACATGGACAATGCTAACCTGTTCAATCTTTAAGGTATGTCCACACTCTTACTGAAGTCTCTAAAGTGACTTGGAAGCAAGGCTTCAGCAGCAGTAAAAAGTGAAGCCTCAGTGAGTGCAGACAAGTATGAAAAGTAGCAGCAACAGTGTTCATCAGCAGGCAGGTTAGGTTTAAGGTTCCTAGTTCTCCAATCATAAGTGTCCCAGTGGATTAAAGCATTAGTTTGTGAGCACAGTAATTCAGTTCAAACCCTAGGTCAGGTAGTGTGGACTTGGATTCTGTGAAAAACAGGATGAGCTGTACTAAAATAGGAACTAGATGAGATATTCCTATACGTAAATAGTGTAATGGAAACAATCTACCCACATAGATTAAAAAATGGGTACAGTTCAAAATTCCCTGAAGGTTCCTCCAGATTGACAATTACTTGTTGAGGGCCAAGAGGTATAATGTTATAGCAGCAACAAAAATGGTGACAATAGTCCACATGTAAGTAATGAACTTCCATTTCCATCAACTTAACAAACCTGAAATTGATTCAAGGCATCATCTACCAAAGAAACATATCATTTGATGCCAGACGGAAAAGAGAAATCAATAACAGGTTGGGGAAGGCCAAATCAAACTTTTGGTAGATTTCACAAACATGTTTGAGATTAAGCTAAACCTCACAAAATGTGTGAAAACAAGATCCTCATGCTGACCACATTTCTGAAGAGAGCTGCACTTTGAGATGTACATTGGAATGACTTTGTTATTTACACTGGGATTCTACACTTAGTTAGTCATAAGTGTTGAAGTTATTGGCTGGCTATGTAGTAATGATGGAAAATGATTGTTTTCCAAAATCCCTTCTATTTGGGAAAGCAGCATCTAATCAATGGAGAAGTAGGGATCCACTAAAAAGATAGAGAAACTCCCCAAAAAGATCCTCATCTCTTGAGGTTTAAAATACTATCAGTGGGAAACTGAAGCAGCTTACATGACAGTATAGATACATAAAAAAATCACAGAATCACACTGCAAAAAGAGGCAGTTTTGTTTACAGAATGAATACACAAGTCCAAAATGGTAAACCCTACCATACTGGTCAGAACTCTGATGACCCAAACTAATCTGAGATGGTTTCAAAACCATGAGCATGGAATTCTGACAGTAAAGTATTGTTTTTAAGTTTCAATATAAGACTGAAAAACATTCAAAGATAGTGCAGTTGCAAGAATAGAAGAGTAACAATGTGTCAATACTCCAAGATTCCTTAGTGAAACAGACCACCGCATCAACTTCTTGACATCCATCCTTTCACACAAGCTTCTTCAAAGAAATGATATGGTTACTACTACTACTACTGTGTCACTCCTTTAAAATAAAACAAGAAAAAGAAATCTATGATAAATTGTCTACTGTTCATTCAATCTCTGAAGTGAGGCTGGTGTTGTTTCTCTTGTTCACTCACAAAGAAAGCACAGCAATAATCCAAATAGGTTAATTAACTGTCTCCCCAACAGTGTATGATAGACAAAGGCAAAAAAGAAACCAAACCACTCCACCTGAGCAGTGCAATTACAGGGGGCCGACACTATTTTCCAGACACTTTATTTTTTCAAGTTTTAGGTAGCACAGGCAGTCTGTACTGTTTTAGTGTAATGGCAATAACATTTAAAAACTGTTTCAATACTACAAATGGAAAAGCAGAATTCAAATTAGAAGTATTTTTATTTTTTTACAAATTTTCACATTACACAGGTGACAGTATTTTTCAGACATTGCAGAAACAATGCTAATAGTTTATGACAGCACCATTTTTTTCAATGACTTCTATCAGTCTATTTTCATAGCATTTCCCATATGTTTTCCATTAAATTTAAGTCTGGACTTCTTGCAGGCCATTCCAGAGTAGTTATATTTGCGTCACACATCCAATTTTTCACTGATTTGGCCACATGGATGCTGCAGTTATCTTGCTGCAAAATAAAATTATTTCCCATTTCTTTTTTTATGAGTGATAGGGCTCTCTTTTCCAAAAGTTCTCTGTAGCTCAATCTATTTTGATGTCCTTTTAACCACTCGAGCCACAAGTTTTCATTCAGAAATACCATACACCAAACCATGACTCCTCCTCCCATCTGTCTCTTGTTGAGAATAACAGGTTCACCTTTTCTCGACTATGTACACCACCCATCAGGTCCATCGAACTTAAAACATTTTTCATCAGTAAATATCACTTTCTTGAAGTCAACATGGTTTGTTATCCATCTTTTGATGCTTCCCAGCCTTGCCTCCTTGTGTTTTCTTGTTAGTGTAATTCTTTTCTTGATTTTAACATACTTAAGTCCAATTTCATGTAGTTTTCTTTACTTTCTTCGCTGTCACTTTTTCTCCAGATGATAACAACCTTCTGTTCTCTTGGAAACTGTTTTTTTCTGTCCACTCTTCTTCTTCCGCTCATAGTCTGTACTTAGCATGTATTCAACTGTCGACTTCGGTAGCTTCATCTCAGCAGCAATCTTTTGGATGCTGAGCCCATCTTCTCTCTTCTTTTTGGACCAAACTGATGACTTCTTTTGAATGCATTTTTCTTCAGAATTTTAATACGTTTTCACAGTGAATGGTAAAGATACTCAAATATAATGGTCAGGGTACAATTTACCTGCAGAAAATTTGAATATTGTAGATGTGCAATGACTAAATCATTAAAACACCTGGGTATTTGTGTCATGTCCAAAAAATAGTGTCACCTAAGTTGAAGTAAAAATAAAGAAAACATGAGACCAAAGACAAACCCTTCAATCAATGTTCATACCATTAATGGACAGTTACTGCTGAACTACCTACTCATCAATACAAAAGCTATCGGCAGCAAAAAACACCTTTAAGCACAATTTTCAAAGTGTCCCAAAAATAGTGTCAGCCCCCTGTAGAACATTCTAGAGTTCTTTCTCAACTTTCCATTCAATTCTATCGGACACATTCACATGCCAGCAGTTTGCATCAAATAGATTTGCATACCAGCAATTTGCATTGGACAGATCTAGATGTTAATGATCTCCACAACACATCCCCACTGAAACTGATGTTACACTAAAAGCATCAACAACAAAATCTTTATCTGGGCTTGGGTGTTCTCTTAGATAATCTAAGGTTGTTTGCTACATTCTTTGGTACAGACAGTTTGGTTTGGGTTAGAATTGGTCTGGTTTGTTCCTGAGTTTGTGACACTTCTTTCAAGACCCCCATTGAATGATCAGTTGGAAGCTTAGAAACATTGTCCATCTCATAGATATGTTTGTAGTCCTCTACAGAAGCATAGTGTGAATGTGCATGTACTGTCTGGTTACCTTGGCAACCCCTCCCAAGTTCGGAGTCATCTCAGCCTTTGATGACACCTTGGATTGCTTGCCCTTAGCTACATGTGCTGGCAAGGGCAGCAGAGAATTAATTCTAGTCCATATCTGCCGGGACATCAAGAGTTGGAGAGAATCCATAAGATGTCAGCATTTTCTGGTACTGCATCAAAAACTCTTGCTTGTTTCAGGGACAGAAAAAATTTTCTCAGTTCTTGCTTGAAAGTCTGCACCAAACGTTCTACTGCTTTGTTGGTAGCTGAATGGTACTTGATTGTGTAGTCAAACTGCTTTAGCCACAGGGCTCATCAAGCTAATAGGTTGGCTGTGAGAAGTGGTGTCCCTCTATTAAGCTGAATAGTGCTGTCAGTGATTAATGATCAGACATCCGTATGGATACTGGTAGAATATCCTCATGCTAAAGATAATGGCTGCGGCCTCCTTGTGAATTTGACTGTAGTTCCTTTCAGCAGCCATGAGTCTTGGACACATTAGCAACAAGGTGCTCACATCCATCCAGATATTGATGAAACAGGACTGCTCCAATTCCAATGTTAGACATGAACACAAGCCAATCCAAGAGGTTTCTTTTTAAAATGTGCAAGGAGTTGATCTGAGAATAATAGATTTTTCAGCTGTTTGTTCTTCATCTTCCCACTTCCAGGGATTTTTTTTCTTGGTTAAATGGTAAAGAGGCTTGGCCATTGAGGCCAGTTTTGAGATGAACTTCCCATAGAACTGAAACAAGCCCAGGAGAGACTTTAAAGACTTTGAGACGTCCATAGGATGTGGCATCTTCATGACTTGGATCCCTGCACAATTCCTTCAGCTGATATGGTGTGGCCAGGATATTTCACACTGGATAGTGCAAATAGGTACTTTTCACAACAACCTCAGAGTTCTTTCTCATTCAAATGAGAAAATAAATGCATCTGGTTGCTAAAGTGATCATTGGCAGCTTGCCTGCTGACAAACATGTCACCATGACAATTCCGGGCAGATTAGGTTCTCCATGATCTCCTGGAAGTATCCAGGCACTGACTTAATTCCAAGTGGGAGTCATTGCTACAAGAGTAATCTATAGCAAGTGCTGCAGGCTAGCTTGTGTTGACTCTCTGGTGCAAGCTTGATCTATTTGTAGGCATCAGCAAGGACAATCTTCACGTAACCATATCCACCTCCTATCTTCTGCATTAGTTCTTCTGGGAGTGGCATCAGATGACAATGTTCCTCTACTTGATACCTAATGAGTAGTCACCACAGATCTAAAATTTTGGCTTTAGGGTTCCTGGACTATAGGCTTTGCAAATCGGTATGACAAGCATTCGAAATTCACTGAATTGGATTTGCTTCCAGACTCTTTTGGAGATGCCTTCATCATAACCTTTGAGTAAGTCATCCCAAAGAGCAAAAGGAACTGGTTGTGTCTCATGAAAAATCAGCTTTGCATCAGACTTGAATTTTACTTCTAGTTAGAAATCCTTAAGACATCTCAAATCTTCTTTGAAAAGATCTGGGAACTCATCACTGAGATTGTGGCAACATCATTACAGGGAATCCTAAGGCTCGTTAGAGGTTTTGGCGGGGGGGTGATGTTTTTGCACCCTCACTCATGTTTTGACTTTCTATACATCTCAGTCCAAGAGAGTTTGTCCACAGAAATGTCCAGTGTTTGAATAGCATTTCATTCCAGCAAGTTCAGATCAGGGATCTTGGTGATGATGTAGGGAATTGAGCTTTGTTTACCAGTCTCTGGATCCTTGGTTTGGTCCATAAAAGTTCCCAGCACAGGCAGGACATAATGATGTCTGACATCATCCAGTTTTGGCTTTTCTAGTTGTTTCCAGACTGACAAAGAAATAAAACTTCCCACTAGTTTCAGTGTCCAGTTCCATTATGAACTGTCAGTTTGGGATTGTGATTGGCACAACCTTGAAGTATCATTGCTCTGTTTTCGTGTTTCTCTTCACGAAAGGTTGGGAATGATGTTCCTATTGCTTCCGCAAACAGTTTCAAAATGTCCTTTCTTGTCACAAAAGTAACATTTGACTTCTTTGTAGGGACAGTCTGTCACTTTATGAGCCATTCTACATCTTTAACATTTATATACAGGGTCTGTGAAATTAGGTAGCTTCTAGATTTTTGTTGACCCTTGTTCTGGCTCTGCTTGACCTTGTTAGCAGGCTTGGTATTGAATCCATAAACAGTTTCCTTGAAGAATTGCCAATAGATCACAAGAAGCCAAAGACGACAAACACTGCAACACAGAGCTATGGCCTCCACTAGCTGCCAATCCATCTCCAACTTGCTTCTCTTATCATATGGAACTCGCATAATCATCAGAGGCACTACAACAAATTTGCTAAATATTCATTCACAAATCCAAGCCATAAAAATAATAATCATATTTTCCATGTATTTTGTCAGCAACATTTAATGTCACTAGTACAAGAAAGGTAACTAGTTATGTGGTGACACTAGGTGGCAATATCTTTTATGACATTGGTAGGTTACTCAAATAAAGGATCATCTTTAAGATTTAGAAAAGATCAAGAACAAAAAGATAATCAGATAATCACTGACCCAAGGAATGAAATCAAAGTTCAGTACCTGTAATATCACACTGAGTGTCTCCAAGAATTCTGTCCAGGTCTGAAAATCAGAAATACAAAATTAGTTTTTGTTTGTATTTTTTTTTTAATCATTTCACCCCAAGCAAGGCAGGAATGCCACTAGTAGACAGAAGGTTACAGAGAGTGAAAGTGAGATAAAAAAATGAGTATAGGAGGGTTTAAGAAAAGGACAAAAAATTAATGGGATTTAAGACAGAAGATGGTGATTGATGTTACATTTAAATTTTTGAAGATTGTAGTTATCAGAAAAGCTAGTAATCAGGAGGGAGTTCTACTGTCAGGAAGTGCAAGAAACTGTTGGAGTAGAAGTGGTGGTTACATTTAACTATTTCAACAATAAAAGGAGTGGGACCTAGATGCCAATCTAGTAGCACACTTAAATTCATATAGTGGGGGAAGGGAAAAAAGCTTGTCAGGGCAGTTGCCATGAAAATATTTGTAAAAAGAACAGAAGGAAGCTACATTTTTATCTGTGAGAAAGTGACTGAAGTTGAGATGCCAAGTCAGGATTGATTAAATTGCAGATCCTTCTTTGGATTTTGTCAAGAACCTCAAGATGAACAGCAACTACACTAGACCAGATATGGCAACAGTATTCAATGCAAAGACAATTGGTAGATTTGTAGATGTGTAAGATGGACTCTGACAAGAAAAACCTTCTGGTATGACACAATGAACCAACTTTCCTTGCAGTAGATGCAACTATTGATTTGATGCAATTGTTCTAGTAGAAAATGTGAGGTCAAAAAATGCAGTGAGATGCTCTCTTGGAGTCTAGCATCAGCCGTGTTGATGACAGGTAGGGAAGTTTCTCTATGGTGGTTAAATGAGAAGTTTAATTTTGCGAGCATTAAAATTTACAAACCATTTCCTGCACAAATTAATGACTGACTGGAGGTCCTTTAAAGAGTAGTGGCCAGGTTAACTTCCTCAGCTATTGAGACACGAGTAAATGGTAGTATATGACATGTGGAAGGATAAAGATCAGAAACAGTGTAGGGCCCAGGATAGAGCCTTGGGGGATACTCCCATTCTTCTGAAATGATCTGTAAGCAAGCCCATTCAGAACAACGTTTATTCACGATTTGATAGAAAAGATTGAATTAAATCAAACAAACATCCTGTAATACCAAAGCCCTGAAGCTTACATAGAAGACTACCTTGCTAAACCTTGTCAAACCCTTCAAGAGATCTTTAGCCACAGCTCGAGCTTCACCATTATTATCAAGAGTGCTTGATATACATATTCAGTGATGGCTGTAAGCACATCAGTGATAGACCTGGTAAAAAAGAAGCTATATTGTTTTTCCAAGATTAGGTCGTAGGATTCTTAACCACTTCAGCATTGGTTGCACAGCTACCAATAATGTCTAGAACCAAATGTGAGATGCTCTAAAATGTTTCATTCTATCAGCAAACAGTAACATCAACTCTTTAAGGACATTCACTCATTATGAACAGACAAAAAGATATCTGTTGCAATCAGACATGTTGCTCTGGTACAGCCAGAAGAAGTGATTCCTGTGGGCTATAGCGACTGAGCATGCAGGTGAGAACCAAGGAGATGAACATGGTTTCACTTGGAATGCTGGAATGAAAGCTTCAATGCTGGCTTTCACCCAGGAAGATTCTTCAGAGGTGTATGTTTTAACAAGATGGTTAAAAAGTTCATTCCAAGGGATGTCACGAAGGAAGTCACGGAATGAGTCCCAATCAACTTGTTGATAACAGAAAGATATTCTGCTGATGGGAGAGTAGAAAGAGGTGTTTACAGATACTACCACATAGTCAGAGTTGCCAAGAGGGAAGAGCTGCAGAGTATGACATGAGTCAGGTATAGAGGTAATGAAGAGATCAAAAAGCAAAGAGTGTCCACCAGGATTACCAGGGAAATATGTAGGGAAGTCCACCATATGCATGAGAGATTGAATGTTTGATAAGTCTGTTTTAGTGGCCATGATTAAGCCACCTGTCATGGTGGACACTAAAGTCACAGAACACAGATGTAGAGAGATGGCCTTGTTTAAATGATCAGAAATACTGTCTAGCATGCAACAGTCATTAGAGGAAGGGAAACGGTAGAGAAAGAAGATATAGCTGACTGAGTTTAGTAGAGAGAGACAGACACACATGTAAGAATTGTCTGGAGATTCAAAAAAGTTCCCTAGCCAATGGGAAATGTTTGTGGACATAAACCTCCAGCCCCAACACAATAGAGTCCTTCCTAAAGAGAAGAAAATAGCCAGAAATTAAAAATTCAGAGGAAGGGATTGTAGAGTTAGGATTAGATTCATACAGAGCTAGGATGTCCAGAGATTGTTGCAGAAGTTGGCATGAATACTGCAAATGTTGGAGAAAGTGGAAGTGCTTGCAAGGTCACTATTCCATGCACAACATGACACTACAGGAACTCCATTATGCAACTGATCAGAGCAGCCTCTCTAGATGCTATGAAAAAGATCATGCTCCTAGCTACCAGTCAGGAAACTGCCAACTCAATACCCTCAATATGAAGAGACATAGCCACCATCCACACATATTACAAAAAATTAATGATAGCACCACTGTTAAAGCTTCAGAAGAGGAAAAGAACTGGGAACCTCTTCCAAGACAGGGAAAAAGGGATGAGCCTCTACTCCTGTTCAAGAGAAGGGGAAGAGTATAAACCAAGCAATAGGGAGGCGTATCTACAGCTATTACACAAAAACAAGATTACTAAGTTTTAACTTAATTAAATTCATGATATACATTAAAAATTCAAAGAAGGCTGATACCTATGAAAGATCTTCAAAACAGTTCTCAGAATATGTATTCATTTAACTTATTTGGAATGTCAATTCTTTTTAACCAAACAGTGCTTAACTGACATTCTAGTTTATTTTGGGACTTTGGGGGTAGGGAAAGAAGTAGTAATCTATTCCTGGAGTTATGGAAGAATAGCTGTTTGGTTAGTAGCAGAGTAAAAAAGAAAAAAAACAAAAAAAAAACATAACTGTTGATATTCAGATTAATTGTAATAAAAATGATTGATTCAAATGTAAAATTTAAACTAAAATTTTAAACTCCCAGATACAAGTGAGAGTACAAACATCAATCAAAAAATTAAAAAAAATAGAAGATTAACAAAGGTACATACATCTAAGAGGAAAAGAAAGAAAAAAAATAAAATAACCATTTAATCAAGAGATTCTTTTATTTTCTTAACTCAATTTAAATTTTGATTTTTCATCAACTCCAATTTACCATCATGGTGTGATTTCTTGTTTCAAAAATCAAATTCCAACCCCCCCCCCTAGATATGAACCTCTAAACTGATTCTAATTAAGCTTGTGCATACAGCAAATGCAATGTTCACATCCAGCTTGCAATATTTTCAGTTCTTCTCAGCATCAAGCAATAAAATTTATTTTAAACAAAACATAATCTCCATTCAGAAGATTCACATGAAACAAAATTCCTAAAAATTAATTCATTTGATTAAAATTAAATGTAAAGACATCAAGCTTTTTAATTCAAAAATTTTAATGAATAAAATAAGTTTATTTTAAGCAAGAAAATCTCAAATTCAAACATTTTTTTTGGACAAACAGCTGAAATAAAAAGAAAACAATAAATTGGTCTCTGGCCAGAGTCATTACTGAGCAAAGATATTCATGGAAAATAACTGAATTGGTTCAACTTGTTAATGCAACAAAAAATGAACACATTGATGAAAATTTAAATTAGTAAAATACTGTATATACTTATGTATAAGACAAGTTTCATGTTTTTATTTGAATAAAATTGATAGGTAAGAAAGTTAAGGGTGAAATTATATATTGTTAAAGTGATAGAAAAAAACTGTTAGCTTGAAGCATGGAAATATTTATTAGATACCAACAGTAACTAATGGTAATGCATAGAATTTAATGTTTCAATAAATAATGAAAAATTTATGTAGTGCCTTTATTTAGATGAAGACTTGCAAAATTTGTTCAAGCATGACTTGTTCTGTTTTTATTTTTTCAGTTGTCATGTTGCGATTTCTTTGTGCCGGTTCATGTCATATTCACATGCATACATGAAGAGAGAGCGATATATATGCATAATACATGAAATATTAGTGGCAAAAGTTGGATGTTACTCTCCTTGGATAAGTGTCATATTATTATAAAAGCAGCACTAAATTCAAAGAACTTTATCTCTACATGTCCAGCTGGATGTGAAAGCAAGTCAGTTCCGACCAATCAGCAAGCTAGATTGAAGGTGACTGACCAATAAATGCTTGTTATATATTTTGTAAGATTGTGATGGTGAAACTTATAACATGAATAGTGCATTTCCTAGCAAGGGTTAACTAGCTTGTTGTGGAAGAGTCCACATATCAATCTTACCAAAGACACCCCCCCTACCTGGCTTCAGTAAATCATTCCAGGCCTCTCTCCTGACACCAACAATAACCTTGGTCAACCAACCCAACAAATTTGTCAACTCCCCACCCTTACCAACATCTTTACACCTAATCACTTCCCTTACCAACAGCAATTAATGAACCATATATAAACAATTTTGTCACCTCTTCACACAACTATATATATATATATATATATATATATATATATATATAATTTTCTGAAATTTGATCAATATACATTGTTGAAATTTGAATCCTTGATTGTTTTTCCCTTGCAACCATATGCTTGTTATAACAATCACGTCTTAATATATAAGTACTTTAGGAATAAATAAAAGTACCCCTTGAATATTTATACTAGTTTATTCTATTAGAATTTTCCTGTATGAAAATTATCTAAACTAGGAAATCTTTTGATATGTGCATACTTAATTTTTCTACTGATGAATCAATTCAGTGTTGATTTTCTGCTTGATTGTAACAAACTTAAAGCTGTTAAATGTTTTATATTGCATTACCATAAATTTGTTGTTTCATTGAACACAAAATTGTCTTATAAAGAAATTTATACAATAACTGCAACGAATATTACATCCCTGATTTTTTTTTTCACTGATTCAGTAGGTGACAAAAAATATTCTCTTTAAAAATGTCAATAGAAAAAAGAAATTCTTGATATAAAAACAACTGAGACATGGAGCAGGTTTTAAATTGGTAATGATTTCTGCACAATTGATTATTTAGAATTTAAAATTCCTACAAAAAAATGAATATTCAAATGAAAATTATATGATGGCTGCTCTCAACTATCCAACCAAAATTAAAGCCTGTACCTAGATCTGTTAACAAAACTACCTCCATCTTTTATTTTATGTACTGTGACCCTTCAAGGACATGGGTGTTCATGGCTCTCCACAATTTCCTATCTTTTATTACAATCATGATATCACTTGTCTCATAATAATTGTTATACTTGCATAAAATTTCATACACTAGATGTAACAGCTATTATAAGACAAGTGGCATTATTTTCTCATAATTTCCAACTGCATCTAACATTAAACACAAAAAAGCCAACAACCTAGTGATTTCAAAATTAAAAGTTCTGGTTATAAAATCAGCCATGTCTCAACTATTTTGAATATTTAATGAGCTAAAATCACTTATTACTAGAACAGTACATCATTGAGTTCTCTTTTAAGTTCAAAAGCTTTTTAATGCAAAAAAAAAAAAAAGACCAAAATTTTACCAGTAGTAATTCAATGGCTGGAAATTTTAAAAAAATCATAATGTATATTATAATATATCATATAGTATATTTATAGTACATCAACTACTCTCTTGTGGAGTGGTTAGGGTAAAATGTCTAATCTCTGTCTTAAATATTCAAATTCTTTAAAATGCACTACTTTTAAATATTTATACTGTTGAACACAAAAAGATGGTTATCACAGCTTGTCCAATAATGACCTAGAAAAGTGTAAGACAAAACTATTTTGATTTAGTACTACTTACATTTTTATCCTTGATGGATTTTTGTCACCTTTTTTTTTTTTTTTCTTTTTGAATCTGTAAACTAAACAGACTTACTAATCCTCTCAGCAGAAAAACACTTTTGTAATGAACAAAAACAAACAAGAACTGAAAAGAATAAGACAACTTACTTCTGGTATAAGCACTTTTATAATGGACCACATTATTGGAGAGAAACTGAATAAAAATGAATTAGGAAATATTAATTCTCTTTTTTTATTATAATTATTCTTTTATTATTATAAAAATAATTAACCTCTTCACTGCAGCTGGAGTAAATCAATTGCTGTTTTTTAAATGATGCGCCTAATTTTAATTTTCAGGGCAATTAAGGATTTAAATATGATTTAAAATAGTGTGAATAAAAAGAAGAAATTTTAAAGCAAAACAAAAAAGTATAAAGAATATTTAGAAAAATCCACTGTTGTATCATGATGATTGAAATTATCTCTTAGAATAGATTAAAAAAATCTCTAAAACATTATCTGGATTGTTTTCTTTATTTTGACACCTGAAGTTTTATAAGTAAAAATAACTTACATTATTTAGACTGTTATCCTCATCTTCATTCCCATATTCACAATGTTTCGGCTATTGTATGCTCCAGCCTTCTCCAGGTGATTGGAATTTCAAATTTTGGGGGTACATTGTTTTAGTTCCACGATCCATGCCTCTTCCGAATGTCTCAGTTATTTCCTTTTAACTCAACTCTCTAAGTTTCTTTTTTTTTTTTTTTTTTTTTTTTTTTGCAGCCTGGTATTCAACTCACAACTCTTTGGACCTAGTCACTGGATCTAACCAACACCTTTATCTACTGGGCCATGTATCCTTGAAACATCTGTGTATGAATTTCTGGGACTTATAAACCTAATGTCCCTAATCTATTTTACCAGTGCTCATATTGCAATTTTTCTGTTATTATTATTGCATATTTTTTACCAGAAAATGGTTAGATCCATTTTTACCAGAATGGTTAGATCCATTGACTAAACCAAAAGTGTATAGCAGTGGTGAACTTTGGGGAGTTAAAGGGAAATAACTGAGACATCCGGAAGAGGCATGGCTCGTGGAACAAGAACAATGTACCATGGTGGACAAAATAAAGGGTTCAGTTCAAAATTCCAATCAGCTGAAGAAGGATGGAGCATACAATAGCTGAAACATTGTCAATATGGCAATGAAGATAAGAATAAAAGTTAAAATAATGTAAGTAATCATAATACCTCATCTCAGAGATATAGACAGATATTAAAGTAACAATATATTTCTTTTATACCAGATGAATGATTCCTTTGATCCAATAAATCAACAAGTGGTCACATTAATAAGGACTTTTTCTATGTCTGAGAAAAAATGTAAACTTGATTGGAAATCACTTAGTGAAATTGATCAAAGCTCTTCATCAATAATTAAAATTACTTCAGTATTTCAAGAGAGAAGAAAAAATCTTAAGTTAACTTCTCTGGCTAAATAGCTGTTGGTCATTGATGAATTAAAGGAAGGAATGTTTATTTGATACCCTAACTCTCACATAGACATGAATTTCCATTAAACAGAATAAAACAACAAAATATATATATATATATACACACACAAATGTAAAAGAACAAAGAATAAAAATAAAATTCCAACATTCAAAACATTAATTTAAAACAGGGTTCAATGCAAGAGTAAAGCAATAAATATTTATTATACACTGTTACATTAGAACATGTAAGTTATTACTACAAAATGTACAATTTTGTAGTAGTAACTTACATTTAACAGTGTATAATATGTAAACTAAAATTGAGTATTTGGGCAACAATGCCTCTTTTATACAACTTTCATTAAAGATGACTGACAAAGTATTAAAATTAAGCCTTTTTTTATTTTTCTTGTGTTTGTATAAGAGTTTTCTTTTCTAGACATAGTATTCTGCATTTCTAAGCACTTTTGGATATTCTTTTATTCATTATCAAGGAATTTATTTTTTATGTATCTCATTACAGAAATGTTTTATTTTGCAAAAACAATTTTGATTTTATAACTGCTACTCTCATAAAAAAAAGAAAATAATTAGAAGGAAAATCCTCAATAATGCCACCATTGAACATTATCCAAATATTAACCTACACTCTGGATTTTTTCCCCAATATCACCTTTCCTAACAGGATCACTACTCTCCCAAGCCAATGTACGCAACAAATATATCAAGAAATCAAAAGAAAACTGTTGAATCTGACAACACAAACAATATTTCTACACATGAAAATATTCTCTACAAAGTAACTGACGTAATTTTTCAGTTGACCATATGAATATCCAATATAAATTCTTCTATTTGCTAACAACATTTTCCTTGAAAAAGTCCACATTGGATGAAACGTGTCGGCTAAAACTATTTTAGTTTTCCTAATGTCTTTTTTCCTTTATACATATTGTCTTTTTCTACAGGTTAATTCTGAGAAATTTTTATATATATATATATATATATATATATATATATATAATTAACAAAATTGTTTTCATTCACAATTAAGCTATAGAAGTACAATGAGTGAAGTTTTTCATTCAGAGTTAATGGATTGACAATATAGAAAGTGGTCATCTACAAAACAGGTATGAAACAAAATTCTCTCAGGTTAACTAAGAACAATAAAAAAATTTTTTTTTTTGAAATTCTTATTTTTACAGTTTTTAACTTTTCATATTCTGTTCTGAAAAGTATGATGGTTGAATACTAAAAGCTTTTTATATTTAATTGCTAGTGCATAAAAAATAAAAACGTATTTTCCACATTCCAGGTTTACAACATCAAAAAATATCAGATTTCCCTCTTGTCATGTAATTCTATTCACATTCTCCAGCTATTCAAGTGTAATGTCAATCGACATCTCCAGTTGCCTTGATCTATCCACTACTCTTCTACTCATCCTTTCTTCTATCACTCCTATCTTATCTTGCTCTAAATTTTCTGTAACCCCTTGCGTCCTAGTGGCTTCCCGCCTTGCTTGGGGTGAAATGCTTAAAAAAAAAAAAAAAAAACATTGATATTTAAAGTGATCTCTTGATTAAATATAAATTTTTTAGCATGAGAAATCCTTTTCTTATTTTCATGTTTTTTTTTTTTCTCGAAATAAATCTCAAGAATTTACTGTGTTTCCTACAGACTAAAGATTATTTCTTACTTATTTTTTTTTTTTTTTTTTTTTTTCGAAAATTTGCTAATCAAAATTCAAGTGCATCTGAGGCCAGAAGAATAAGATCATCAATACAGGAAATATAGTAGTGACTAAAGTTTACTAATTGCTTATTTATCATGTTCTTAAATGAGAACTACAATGTAATGAAAAACCACACCAATGACGCTTGTGAAAGGGCGTCAGAAAATCTCTTCTACATCTCTACAACTTTCCTGCAGAATTACTAAAATTTTACGGAAGGAAACAATATATGGTTTCCTTCTGTAAAATTTTAATTCCGCAGCAAAGTCATAATTATCAAGTTAGATAATTCAGTAAAAATAAAAAGGAGTTATTTCCCTTGTTAAGTTTCTTTTCAAAAATAAGTGATAAGAATGTGATAATTTTTTCAACTGTATTTACTTTCCAATTAAGATTAAATATGGTAAATGACTATTTTTTTTCTTTTTATTGTTGTGAAAACCATGCGTACGTGTGGAACGGGTAGCAATTCCCACTACGACACTTGAGCTGACCAAAGTTCTATGGAATCGGTATTAAATTGATAATCTTACAAAATTTTTCAACAATGCATGTAATTAGTTGCCATATTGGTTTTAGTATTAGTCGGTATGAAAATTACTTTTCTTGTTCTTTTTTTTTCTAATTTTAAGGGATGTGAATTAGTCTTTTTTCACAATTAACTAGCACAAGGGTAAATACCTACCCCCCCCCCCACACACACACACACAAGTTCATAATCTGCCAATGAACATTTTTTTATATTTTCAAAATTATCTCATTCCTTGTTAATTAACTTAAATTAGTTATGAATTTTAATTACCTAGAATAGACATTACACAAAAATTTTAGAAAATTCAACTACATTTCAGACTTGATCTTCCCTAACGTTTGCATGTGTCTGATATATAAACAGTATGTACATAGAAATCAACACTGGTGTCTTGGAGTTTCACACCTTAATTATCTATATTCAAACTTTATACCTTTATAGTGAGCAAAATTTCCCCCTAAACAACAAATTTTAAACAATATAAACAAATCCTTCATGAATCCATGTTTGAAAAAGACAATGTTTCTTTCACTACAATAAAAATAGTTGAAAATACACATATGCAAAATTATGTTATCCACACAAAAAAGAAAAGGACTTTAGATTCTTATTAATTAAACTAAAATAAAAATAAAAACATTGAAAAACTCAGTTACAACTGATACATTTGTTCAAAAGAAAAAACTTTTTTGCATTATTCTCTGCATGATAAACTTCATACAATGAGCAGTTGCAAAAGAAATTGAAATTTAAAAATTACTAACAACTTTTGTTGCCAGCCATTTAAAGATTTAAATTTTGATAATGGCTAAACAAATGACCAAAGCATGTAAGTATTAAAATCTTAAAAGCAATTCTTACATATACTTACCACTGATCTATATTTGACAAGAAATAGGAAAGATTTGTTAAAAAGTGAAGAATGATCACACACACACACACACACACATCCTGTGATATCACAGGTAGTATTCTTTAATCAAATACATCAAAATTGTCATTTCCTTTAATGATTGTTCATTGTAACAAAACAAAATCTGGTGATAGAAAAAAAATAATTAAATTTGCAGCTTAGCACATTTAAAGTTCAAAGATTTCTACAATTCTTATCACTTCCCACTGACTTTACCCTTACCCCACCATGTCCTCAGTTAGAAAATTAAATTAGATCACTTTTATCTAAAATCTACATTTTGTGCATTGAAAATCAGGAAAATTGAGATTATCTATGGTCAGAAATTAAGTTATATATTACTGACAGAACAGGGGAAACACACACACATGGGATGTCATGATACAAAATTATTGTTAAAATGATCTTTTTTTAAAGATTTTTATTATCTTATTAAATTTCTCTCTTTTACTGAAGTATTCAGGCAACCATTTTTCCCCATTAAAAAAAAAATAGATAAAACATTAATAGGCAAAAAGCATGCAATGAATAACTTACAACAAACTCGAGGCCAGGAATTTTAAAGTCTTCTTCTGTTTTCATTTTATCAGATTTTGGAATGGCCACCAAGTAACCAAGCTGTTGTTTTAAAGGCAAGAAAAAGAAATCAAACAATTTGAGATAGTTTTTAAAAACTCACAATTTTTTTTTTTAATACTGACAAAAGATTAATATTTAAAACTTTCAAATTTGTAAACATTTTACTGCCAAAACAGTAGTATTTCTAACAAATCCTCTACCAGATAACAACTGTGAGGTTTGGGGAGGAAAACATCATATAAGGTGCGAGAAAGATAAATAAAAACTGGCCTATTTGTCAAATTAGTTGATCACTCCCACTACTGTCATTTGTCGGTATTCAAACCTAGGTAAAAAAAACTAGGAAGTTGAAGGATAGTTTTTAAGACAAACCGGCCATCTCCACTTGCTGCAACACACAATCTCTATTCACTTGAATTTTCAATATCAACAATTTCTAAATTAGAGTAAATCTCTTGTTCACTTTTTAATTTTATGTAACTTCCAAATTTACATTTACACAATATATGAGACATGCTTCAAAAGTACTTATTTATTTCCACAGAAATTACAGCAAATACTTAAAATGCAATAACACTATTGAATAGAGCAAGTTTCCTGCTATAAAAGACTACCATCATTGACTACGTATTTTTGAAATCTTCATTCCATCAGGTGATAGTTGTGCAGTCCTGCCCAGAATATGGCTGGCCACTCATTTTGCATTTATACACAGAATTATTTTTTGCCACGTTACTTCTGTGTAAAAATGCAGAATAAAATTTTTACACTTGCCTTGATAAAGTTCCTCAAGGAAAAAACGTTTTTAAAAAGATTTTCTTGTCTTTTTATTGTATATTAAAAAAAACAAGGAAACTACAGGAACAGTACTCAATGTAAAATATATATATATATATATACAAACAGAGCCAATATAATAAATATATAAAAAACCATAGTCAGATATTACTGAATAAGGAATTGAGTATCTCATCATTTGTACCACCTGAAGATTTTGAGGCAGCCACATAACTACTGAGATGTCCACATGAAACTTGAAGTCATGGAAAGGCAGTTATATCTCTCCATATATATATATATATAGTAAAGGTAACATAAAATATTAAAACTGATCTACAAAAAGATCTCTGTGTATTTATTATTACAGAGCAAATAATTAATAAACAATAAAATCCAGAATCACCTCATATGGGGAATAGGCTATTTTTGGTAGATGAAGATATTGGTCATCTGTCATATCAACCCTGGTGTGAACTGAGTTCATATGACAGACAACTAATATCTTTGTCTATATAATATATATATATATATATATATATATATATATATATATATATAATATATATATATATATATATGATATATATATATATATATATATATTTTGAATTATATATATATATATATATATATATATAAAATGATATATATATATATATAATATATATATATATATTTTCATATATATATATATATATATATATAAAATGAGGTTTTCAGCTCAACAAAGAAGGTATTAAAAAATTCTGATGTTTGATCATTTGGCCAGATTTTGGGAAGTAGAACTTTTTAGCGCCCCCTCATAAAAGAATCCTTAACTGGTTTACTATTTAATTCTGTATATCTTCTCGACATATATAATGTTATATGAAGTGAAGCAGTGACTAATTAAATTTCCTTATAAGATTGAAAGAACAAAGAAACAAATGGAACATATATCCGTGCTAACTTAAATCCCTGCAAACGAATTGTAAAATGAATCTTACTTAGTGAAACTAATAGCCCAGAGTACATCAAACAGAAAATGTCTCATAATTTAATCATGCCACTATTTTAACAAAAGAAACACAAATGAAGTTCAACCCGTTAATATACATAAAACATTGCATTGGTTTCATTTCATACCATTTCCTTTACAAGTCTTTCAGAAACATAACCCCCATGTTAAATGAGGCACAACTATAAGATATTGCTGGGGTGGATGTCTTTACCAACAAAATATCCAGACATGAAATGTATGGCTTACACCATTAATTTTATTTGACTCATACTATGATGATGATTTACAGAAATCTCTCCACATCATTGCTAGTGATAACAGGTGTGTTTAACAAATGCCACTTTATTACTCACAGCAACCATACAGTCAAGAACTAAGAAAATGCTTTATTTCCTTGATTAATATTTTCATATTAATTTTTATTGTGACTTTGATACATTTTTAACTTGTTTATTTATTATTCTCTTTGGTCCACAAATAATAATGTTCCATTGATTTCAATTCTCTGCACTTTTTATTATTATTAATCAAAATGATTGACATAACTCTTCCAATATTTGGCAACACTTCCAGAAGAGTATGATTTTCAGAAAAGAAAAAAAGACGACGAGAAACAATATATAACAATATTTTAACAGTATGTCTGTCTGTCTGTCTTCAAGTTATATATAAAACAAGAATGCATACAAATATAAAAACGAGTCTATGTAGAAACACCATTAGTGTGAATAGAATGTAAGTAAAATATGGCTAACAATGTGGAATGTGTTCATCTTAAAATTATTTCATGAGTTGATTAGAGCAATTAATCAGTTTAGTATTAATCTGGTGGAATTCTATCTTTTTGTTCATTAACCACCATTCACCTGCATGGTACCTTGTTGACAAATGGATTTTCTTCATGGGGGTCTGTGCTACACCCAAACGCTATCACTAGCTTAAAGCAACTGGAATTTTGACTGATTGGATCATGCCACATATTTCCAGTCTTTCAGTGTCTAATTAGCAATGTCATGATCCCATTTAAGACATTATGTCCAGTGATGTGGTGTTAACAGTGACACTTTAGTGGATCTTCTGCTTCCATATCCCGTGGAACTGACCTGTTCAATATGCACCTGATACATCCTGCACTGAACATGGATGTGACTCTTCAGCCAGTGTCACTTGTATTTTACCACATACAATCTTAACCTGTGAGCATGATCTTTAAGGACCTGTGATGGGTGGGTGGGTGACTGAGCTTTCCATGGTAGACAGTAATGCCATCTATTAGGTATTCATGATACACACATGACACCTTAGTTTAAATGATGTTAAATATCCCTATAATTCCAGAAATGGAATGTCTTATCAACCTAGCATCTACTATTATGCCCCCTTCAAATTTTGATGATTCACATCCCATCCCCCTTGCCATAAGCAAACTAACCAGTGTTCAAACTGACCTCCCCAGATATTAGAATGCAACTGATATAGGTCTGGGCATTTCTAAAATAATGGCACAATCTATCATTAACCTCACATGATTGTTTGATTCAATTTTTTTTTTTTTTTTTTTTTTTTTTTAGATAACAATTAGTTAGTGATACAAATCCTGGGGGGAGAAGAGGTGAATTCATACTTTTTCCAAGGGTATATGTACACAAGTGAATATAACAAACACAAATGAAATTGTAACTCGGCTCTGATTAACAATTTAAAGCCATTATTCATTACACCACTGGCACATCCAAGATTACAGCAATTGGTATTCCCAAGTAGTCACCCATCTAGGTACTGACCAGATTCAACATTGCTTAACTTCAGTAATTGTATTGGAGTGTTTCAATGTGATATGGGTGTAAGCCCACCTTTACACACTGTTATCTCTTGGCTTTTGGCATATCAATTATTGTAATGCATACTTTAATACGAAATATATATATATATATATATGTGTGTGTGTACATTGCTTGTTATTATACTTGTATGTGCATGAGTTGTAATACTTTGTAAGCTTTCCTTTATTAGAGGTGATAATAAAAATAATAATTTTTATCATCACCTCTAAAATCACAAATTTTGACAAGTACCGTTTACCAATCCTAGGTAGGTAATCAACTCACCTGAGGCAGGTAGATCACGTTACATTCAGTTATGTCGTCGTCTAAGTTTTTCAATTCTTCTTTGGCCACTTGAGTCATAAAATTAGGGAGACCATTGTATGTTCGTTTTTCTATAGGAAAAGAAAAATAAATGTTCAAATCTTGACCTGAAAAAATCACAAAATTTTTAAGAAACAAATCATAAATATTCTTACAGCTTAAATGTAAAATCTCTGATTTTATTTGGGCATCTCTTGTATTTGCTAAAATTCAAAGAATATCAAAAAAGAAATTTCCTTTTTAATCATTTCCAAAAGCCCCAGCAAGGCAATAAAACCACTAAGAAGCAAAGAGGTATTGAGATTGAAAGAATATGAGAAAAAATTGCTATTAAGGAGAGAGGACAATAAAAGAACAGGATTCTATCATATAGAAGATAATAAATGACATTGCTTTTAAATTTTTGAAGATCAAAACAAGGAGCCAGAAGAGAGTTCTTTATTTAATCAATAGATATGCTGTTATGCTCATTCAAATACCTATCATATACAATGTTCTTTCCAGAGAATGTAGAATGGAACTGTTTATTTGATACTCAGGGATATGCAGTTCACATTCAAATACCTATCATCTTCAATGTTCGGATAAGGATATGTCAAATCGATTGGTGTATATTGTTCAACACACTATACTTGTCATATCAGATGTCTTTTATTTCTAAGGAATTTCATTTTTTCAGACTGTTAATTCTTCTTTATAATACCTCTCTTTGTCTCTCCACTAAAAATGTGTATGTTTCTATTCTATCTGACCAGGGATTAATGATTTGACATATGGCAATTCTCGAACACATCAAACATTACATGTATGAAGTGAGATCAGCTTATTCTAACATTTCCAGGATATTATTGAATACAATAGACACCTAAGAAAGGATGAAGTGTACTCTTTTCTATCAAATACAAGTGCTATTCAGAATATTCATAATAGGTAGAATATAATAAGTATGCTGTACCAAATAAGCAGAAAACCATTGAGAAAACTGAAGGAAATAATTTATTCATACCAACACTTGTATATGATACACAAGAGTACAGTGGCTAAAATATAATAAAGACAACAAAGAAGAAGAGATTGGTTCTAAAGAATCAATGTATAATAGTAACAACAGATTTCCATTTGAATTTTTGGGATGAGAAATTATCATTATATACATTTGGACAAATGTCTTCATGCTTGTTGTTTATCACAATGTTTTAACTGTTGTACCATACAGTCTTTCATAAGTGTGATGATCCAAATAACCTTTAAGAAATTTTAAACTGAATCTGTTATTTAATCTATTGCTGTAGATTGTTCTCATTTCACGGTCTGTCTCCAGAGGTATCCCCTTGGACATGAACTTGATTCACGAATGTGGTGAGCTTATAATTGTGAATTCAGTCCTTAGGCTGCATTGAGAAGACATACACTCAGGGGAGAAACAGTCAGCAGTGACTGAGCAATACTAAAAAGGAACAAGACAAGATATCCCTAGACAATTTACTCCTATAAATTAAAAAAAAAAAAAAGGTTCAGTTCAAATTTCCCTAAAGTTGCTGAAGGGCACAATGTCCAATATGTTAAGATGATAACAAGTCCAAGTGTAAATAATACTTTATTACATATAGTCAAACAAATCTTGGCATTTACATAGATTATCTGATATTTTTGTCTCTTCAGCCAAGACAAGAATAAAGATTTTTTTCTAGAATTTAGTGGCTGAAAGAGAAATTTCAAATTTAAATTCATCTCCTTAAAAGGTAAATTCAATGCATGCCAGTTAAAATGAGGAGGCATTCTTTAGAACCATACAAGTGTGAACTGGTATCATTTCACTAGTTATATATATATATATATATATATATATATATATATATATATATGGTGGGGAAGCAAAATTTACAATATTTTGAGACAGGAATTGAAAGACCTTAAATGACCAATTAGTTTATTGAAACTTGAAGGAATTTATTTTCCACAAAAAATTTACAGATAAATAAAGATATAAATAATATTAAATATGGTTGTGGCATCAATATATGGTAAGTTTAAAAAACATTGGCATACTACTTGCTGAGAAAAAGCAACTAAACTTACTTTGTAAATTTTGCTTCCCCACCCTGTATATATATATATATATATATATATATATATAGTCCCCACCAAAAATCTTTCAATGATTTTCACATATAGATATGCCTATGCCAAAAGACGTCACTATCAAGCATAATTTCACTTAGCAATTGTATTGGAACTAATGTTTTAATGTGATATGGGTGTAAGACCACCTTTACACACTGTCAACTCTTACCTTTCTGCATATCAATTATTGTAATGCATACTTTAATATGAAATATATGTGTTTGTGTACATTGCTTGTTATTATCAGAAAATCTTTGAGATTCAAGTTTTGCAAAACTAAACCTATTTTTTTTTCAAAATACAGGATGTCCATAAAGTCTTTAGACAATTTTAAAAAGTCATTATGAAAAATTTAAAGGTAGGAATTAAATTTTTGTTACATATTAATACTATCATTAAATTTTTTTTAATAATATTAATAGTTTTATTAATGTTATGCTTTTATGTTCCAGATTGCAACTAATGTTGTTTTTATATTTCAGACATGGGCAGAAAATTAAATATCACTTAGATGTCCTTCATACAATGAATGGGACCGATATAGAAATTTATTAACTATTTCTATATAAACTTCACTATTTACTTCATATTATATAAACATTTCAACAGTATACAGTTTCCATTGTAATTTGAATAATTTTTTTCTATTTGTCTAGTGACTTTGTGGACATCTTGTATATTGCATAAGAGTGAAATATAAACAAATAACAAAAAAAGGAAATAGACATTGTTCTTTTAATAGTATTTTGAAAATATCAAAATAAAAAAGATTTTAAACATCCTCAAAACCATCAAATTCTGAGTCATCAGATCTTGAGAGGAAAATCTCAAATTAATAAAAAAAAATTAGTTGGTTTGCTGCATACAGCAGCCTTTGTGGGGAGCAGTTGTGTCCCCTCTGTCATCCAATGGGATGAGTGATAAAAATATATGAAAAATGTATATGGTTCACCATGCACGAGTAAGCAATCTATCACAGTTAATAAGACCCAACTCTAGATAATTATTAAGCTTACCTGAGTCTAGCACAAGGTCTCGGCAATTAAACATCAACTTACAAGTAATGGCTTGTTAAACTAATGTTCTCACCAATGTACCATGACAAGTGCACTCAACAAATAAATATATATAGGCATAGGTATATGCATGTGAGGGAAATGTGTGTGTGTGTGTATATATATATATATATATATATATAATATATATACATATATATATATATATATATATATATATAAATATATAATAAACTTATATCAAAGTATATCTGTGCATATATATATATGTGTGTGTGTGTGTGTGCGAGAGAGAGTGTGTTTGTATTTATATATATATATGCCACAAAAATAGTTTATTGCATTACGTATCTACACATAGAGTAAGTATTTACCACAAAATTACACCACTTACAGGTTTTGTATATGCTATTGTAAATATGAGGAAAAATGTCAACAAGTGCATTTATATAAAGTTATAAAAGATATTTACAAAAGATGAAACAAAACAGATTCAATAACATTTATGGTCTCATCAGACCAAAGAATATTATTCCAGTTGATATCAAGTTTACATAAATGCTTTTTATCAAACCTCAACAGTGCCTCGAGGTGATCTTTTTGTTGTGTTTTATTATTTTTATTTTTTTACTTTTTTACTAACAAGATTGCAAACTCTGTTGAGGTGTAACTGTTGTCCCTGATGGCTGGAAAACTTTCACTAAATGTTTGCAGGTTGGGTGTTTCTTTATCATTATTACAATCCCACTTTTAACATAGCTGGACATCTCTTGAGTGGCATCAGTTCACCATTAAATCATGACCCTTTCATTTGCAAACTATCTCCTTGATGACTGGAAATCTTTGACTAAAACTTTGCAAGTAATCCTTGGCTGTTTCTTTATCATTCTTACAATCCAGCTTTCAGAAGGCTGGACAATTTTTTTGAGTGATACAAGATCAAGGTCAATTCATTTACAAATTATTGAACCTATGGTTTACAACTTAAGTTGTAACTCTTTACTGATGGCTTTGTAACATGATAAAATCCATGTTATCTCTGTGGTCTGTCGAATGTTTCTTAGCTTTCACCATGATTATGACGACATTTAGCAGCCAACTGATAGATCAAACATAACCCTAATCCCAATAACATTAACTACTAATACTTAAAATGTTCTAGAATAAATTACAGCTTTTTAAGATCAACCACTTACAAATTTACATTCTTCAATTATATTAGTGAATTGATATTGAATACTTTTTTAAGTCATTTTTTTAAAAAAAATATATCTTATAATTTGGGTCATATTTAATATTGTAAAGACAAAACATGTCTATGGTGTAGGCCCGAGGTATATATTTACTATATATATATATATATATATATTTTTTAATATAACAGTATTAATTACATTTACATTTGAGAAATTTTGTAGAAAATATGCATTCTCCAGTAGGAACTGAACCTGTATCCTATATGGAACTGTCATTAAGCCTAACATGCTATGACCTTTCAGCCACAGAGAACTTCTGATTAGCAAAACTCAAATTACTTCTTTTATACACACACCTCCACTGATTCAAGTCAGTAAATCTAATTAATCCTATTTAATTAAAAAACAGAACATTTACTCAAATAAGTGCATCAATAAAACATGTATAAACAGAAACTATATTAAAATATTTGTCAGATTTAATCCATTTCATGTTTTTTTATATATATATATATATAAAAACTCTAAGCAAGGTGATAATACTGGAAACCCAATCATGAAGCAAGGGATAAACCTCTACTCCTGTTCAAAAGACTGGGGAGGATTGTGAACCAGATAAGTAAACCTATCTACTCAGATGTTTATCAATCAAACATTGATTACCTACCAGCTTGTTTTCTCTTGCTTTCCAGTCAACTTTGAT